ATAAAAAGTTGTTTTTGCAGAGGTCAAGTGTTGGGTCTCGCTGGTCAGACATTGGTGTATGTAGTTAAGATAACTTAAGATGAGGTTTATAAGGGGCAGGAAGGTTCACAACAGCTCTTAAACATTGCAACACTTTTGTGGAGTGTAAATATTATGATTTTCATGGCTCAAAAAAGCATTTTACTTTGGTGAATCTTCAGCAAAGAGATAAAATTAGTGTAGAACTAAAAATGGATCACTGATATATCTTTGACCTGGACTAACTGGAATTTACAAATGTGTCTGTGCGGTTTCTCTCTCATGTACCGAAGCGCTTTGAGGTGATGCCGACATTACTCACAGAATACTTTTAGCAGACGCGCTCTAAGACAACAGTGTATGACAGAAAGTCTGCCAGTGTTGAATCAGAGCCGACGTGTGACATATTGTGACATGGTGCAAGTCTCTTGTGCAGCTTTCCGAGTGTTTGCTTTCAGAATCCTCGACGGCGGTGGAATGGACACGATCTCTCCAGCCGTCCGTACGCGGTTTACCTAAGACAAGTCCCAGAAAACCCACTCAGTTCATGGGAGGTGCGATAAAACACACTGGATTAAAATAGTAACTAATGTAGAATTTGGGACCAAAGTGTGAACCAAAAACCACAGATTACACCAAAAGAGTCTTCAAGAGAAACTGTAGACAGTTTCAGCCAGTTTTGGCTGCTTGACTACTTCAAAATTTAAAACTATTTTTATTTTATTTTATTAGAAAAGTTATTTTGAATTGTGCTAATATTTCACAATGTTTTTTATCAAATAAATGTGACTCAGATGGGTACTGTTGCTTAAGGTTGATTAATAATATTATTAATAGTTATATAATAATATAATAATAATTAATGCGATTAAAAGAAACTGGATTAATAGTAACTAATCTAGAATTTGGGATCAAAGTGTGAACAAAATTATTATTATTATTATTAATCAAACTATTTTATTACATTTTTTTATAATTTATTTTATTTTTAAATTCATAATGAATAAAATTTCATTCAAAAACCTTGTTTAACCTTACGGATTGATAAAGGTTTTGTACCGCACCTAAAACCTGAAGGAACTAACTTTTATGAAGGGTAATTTACTCTAGGCTGCAGTACTTTGAAACTGGCAGCATTATATATCAAATGATAATGTAATCTCTTGACGGCCTACTCTACAGGTTTTTCTTTCCCAAGCGCCATCCACAATGGGAGTTGCTAATCCAAGACCATGTGGTCCACTTTTCCGTTTGATCTTTTGGCTTTTATTTCTGCCCACCACCACCATTTTTTTTTTTTCAAGACTGCTTCTTTCTCAATTGACACCTCCTCCATACTCTCTCTTTTTTCCTCCCGTCTCACCATCATCTTCAGCTATAAGTCAACCGTAGTACGATAAAGACTGAAATCTTGCATGAAAGGTTCTCGGAATGAGTTTTGATTGCAAAGTTTGAATGGATTTATCAACTATAGGCTCTTAACTGGATAATTGCTAAAGGAGAAGATAACTTTTCTGGTAGGCTATGCTCAGGTTTATCTTGCAGTGATATTGCTGTAAACTGTAAATATCATAACGTGAATGAATTTATTCCGGGTTTTTTTCTTGGTTTACACTTTAAGACACTAGAGTGTATCAAAATCAGATGTTTTTGTTGAACTGCTCATTTGCACCTTTTTAAACAGGATCACCGCAGTTGGATAACAATCTGTGAGAATTTCTCATGGGCAAGAGCTTTAAAATGTGAGGAGGTTGTCCTTTTTTTTCTTTCTTTCTTTCACTACTTTGATCATACTTTCTTGACCCGAGTTATTGACCGCAATCGGATTAGAGGATTTTTCTGCGGCGTCCTTGACTACAGAAGAATCGCTTCAAAAATGCATGAGAAAAGCACACATTTGTTGTTCTCTGAATCCCGAATGATGGCAAGAAATGTGCCCATGAATTAGTGAACCGCTTGACCAGCTAAGAGTCAAGCAGCTTTGCCCTGTTGGTGTTGGAGATTCAAATGTTTTTAGAGTTGGCTGAGCTTTTTCAGTAAGCTTATTAGAGGACTTTGAAGCGTATTTCCTATTTATTATGTTGAATATTAAAGCTTACATTTAATGTACAAGTTGAATGACAAATAAGTAAATTGAGGACCTGAAAGAAACATTTGAGGAACAAGATTATTCTGTAAAAACCAGATGCCCCTTTTCCAGTATGTTCTTACCATAGTAACTAAGTAAATTTTTTTTACAGGTTCTGTAAATTCATGAGTATGGGCTCTCCATCAAACTTTCAAAATGTTTTTTCCCTCCAAAATGTTTGTCTTTGACAGCTACTGTAATACCAAGTTACCACACTATTTTAAAAATGAGAAGGTTTTTTTTTTTTTTTTTTTGGTGGAGACTTAAACCTCTCGAAAAATGCAATATGGGAACATATTGAAAATATTTATTGGCCTTGGTAAAATTGTGATATTCCTTTAAGTACTTGGCAGATACCAAGGAAATTTCATTTTATTATGACTATTGTTTTAATCAATCATTCAGTACCATGATACTGTATATAGGCCTATATTTAGTGTCATCGCTTTACTATGGTACTGCCACAGTATCTCAGGGTTTTTAAATAAAATTTTTAAGTGGTTTATTGGTTGTTTTGGTTCAAAGTCCAAAATTAACACCTCCACAAAACAATCTCAATAATCTTACATTTAAAATGATGTCCGTTTTTGACCTTGGTTAAATTGGTAGGCTATATTATGTTATTTGAAATATTTTGGAGTACTGTGTAGATGATATATATTGTGGTAATCATTCAGTACCGCAATATATATTTAGTGCCATCGCTTTACTATGGTACTGCCACAGTATCTGTGGGTTTTTAAATCGTATTTTTAAGGGTTTTATAGGTTGTTTTGGTTCAAGGTCCAAAATTGACATCTGTCGCCCACAAAGCTCTATCTCAATAATCTTATTATAAAATAATGTCCGTTATGTTGTGTTTTTTTATGTATTATATTTTATATAAGACAGGCTGATGAGAAAAGTTAGGGATTCTGATTTTATTCAGCGTTTGTGTTTTGTTGGACTTTGTGAGAAACTTGTGAAATCAATACTGTGTCCTCGTGGATCAAATTAACTTGCCAGCTCGTTTGATTTGAATTTGTGTTTAACATTGTGTTCATGTAACTTATTTTTTTCCTCACCGTTATATGATTTTCTCCTGCTCTTTTATCTTTATGACGTTAGAATAAATCATGCAACAAAACACGCCTTTATTGTGACACATTAACCCAGCGGTTAACTCCATTGTTGAAGGCCATCTAATTATTAAACCCTTACTGTCTATCTTACTACTTATCATCGAATTTGCCATGAGACTTTTCCGTCATTGTTCGAGAGGATTTTCCTCCTTCACTTTTGAACACTGTGATACTGGAGTCATGCTGTCCTAAAGAGGAGTAAAGTTAAGGTCAAAGCGATGGTGACCCAATGCAGCGGGAAACAAAACAGGCTGTGATTAAGAAAGAATGAAGAAAGCGCGTTAAACCCAAACCTTGACAGAAACTCAATACTTTTTCCTGTGAAGGCTTCCATGAATTATCGTGAGGGCCGTCAGTAGGTCATTGCATATTGTTAGCTGTTGTCTTCGACTGGGATTTCACTTCTGGAAAGCGTTTGACTGCTGAAACGGCTTGTTTTGATGTACGCCCCAGAGAGCGTTCTTGTGAAACTGGCTTGTAAATGGAGCTACCTGCAGAATACTGACTCGGCGGATGCAGCTCTCTCCGAAAACCTTGAAAATCAATCAGTAAGGATATCAGACAGCTGAAGAAATCCATGCATGCAGGACGAGCTTGTCAGACAGGCTTTGTGAAATCTAGCTGTCAGACTTTCTCAACTGAGCCATTCTGTATGATTTGCTGTTTGTTTTCCAGTCACTTTCACTGTTGAGGCAAAGACACTTGTTTTTTTGTTGTTGTTTTTTTTGGTATTTATTCGGTAAATGTGTTTCCATCATAGTTTGTGCATGTCTTCTTATTGGATAAAAAATGTATCCCTCTCAATTGAGTGCATTTTTTGAATTATGCGCATCTTGGCATTTCCATCCATTTTTTTAATGCAATATCCCAAAATGCGCATACAAATAGGTGGATGGAAACTTTTGATTGAACTTTTGAGTAATTTCGCCCTCCTTAATTTGCGTCCAGACTAAATAAATGAATATATATATATATATATATATATATATATATATATATATATATATATATATATATATATATAATAACATTTGTGCTCAAATTAATAAATGACTAAATATTTATTTATTTGCATCCAAAATGAATAAATATTTATTTGCACTCAGAATTAATAAATTAATGTTTTTTTTACACTTTTTTTTATCTTTTATTTTTTATTAATAATACGTCTACTGTAAGTCACTTTGCATAAAAGCATCAGCTAAATGATAAATTAGTAAGTTATGCGAAAGGCTATCCAACCAATCAGGTGAAGTGTAGCAGTGGAGCTCCAACCCCCTCAGCACAGGATGGCATGGTAACCTCTCTGAGCTTTATTTTATTCGGTCTTTGTGCAAATATAGAATCAGATGTTTTGAATAACGCACTCATGATATAAATTTCCTGTGGGCTTTATGCTGCGCTGTTGGCTGTGTTGTGAGTTGTGGCTTATTTATATGTTAAGTTCTCAGTTTACCAGCCAGACACTGTTTGTTTTATTAATGTACAGAGCTCTTTTCTATGTCATTTCTTCAGTGTCTGTGTTTCCACGTTTAAATCCTAGAAACCGCTTTGAAATGCTGTTCACTTTAATGTTTTCTCTCACTGCGAGCTGCTTATAAAGACTCTGTAAATCTTTGACAATGTTCTTCACATGTCTCATTTGAGAGAGCTGCAGAACGCTTCCATTAAAAGACTGAAGGCTGTGTGATTCATGGACTTTAATTAAGATTTCCTCTTTTGTTTCCTCTCAGGAGTCCACGTCTGCGAGAGCGTACACAAGAGAGGCCTCTTTATAGGTGAAAGGATTGCCCAGGGCCACAGCGCTCAGAATCTGAAGGTAAGGGAATGTGGATGTGCACAAAATCATTCAGCTTTATTCCTGCAGTTCCCTTACACCTTGTCCTATAATATAAGCTCATGCGATAAGATGCCAGCGACAAGCGATTTGTCCACACCCGAAAGCGACTACAAGACATGACGCAATCAATCAGAAGAGCGAGTGGGCGGAGCCTCTCTGCAAGCGCACTGCACTCGTAACGAAATGGATTAGTACATAATCAAAATCATAAATATTACACAATTTTATTATTATCAAAACTACATACTTAGTGACTGAAACAATCTTTGTTTCTGGTGAGTTATTCTTTGTCGCTTTCAGTATGGCTTTAAAGGTCACACAAACTCACATTATATGCTTTTAACATTAAATAAAGCACATAAATAGTACTTGGGGTTATTATTGTCATATGTTGTTGTTCCAACCGTGACGTTGCAGAAATGGAAACCATTTCTAAAATAGAATCGTTGGATATTGCCAGCGGAGCTGGTTAGGACAAAAACTCTGATTATCATTGGAAAGATATATTTTATTGTGTGTTGCAATGTTGCGTCTGGTTTGGACATGGTGTTAGAAAGAATTCACCTTCCTTTGATTGCTTTTCTGCTACTCTATACCTATAGGCTACAGCAATATGATAGTAACCAGGAGCTGTCATGGTTGAAAAAAGACAAAAGCGGCCCTTGGAAGTATTCAGAATGATTTGTGTTTTATATTTAAGTCTTCTGAAGCCTTATGGTGGCTTAAGGTCAGGATAGCAGCTGTCAACAGTCTTAAAGGAATAGTTCACTTCAAAATGAAAATTGTCATTAACTCACTGTCAAGTTGTTCCTAACCTTTATGAACTTCTTACTTCTGAGATATTTTGAAGAATGTCAGTAACCAGACAGTTGATGGACCTCATTTAAGTCATTGAAGTGAACTATTTCTTTAATTCCTGCACTGAGTTGTAGAGCTTTTTGACTTAAATTGGAGTAAACCTAGAAATTGGAGTTCACACCTAGAACGATAACTACAAAGGTAACTTTAATGATAGCTATATTATTGTCCACACCAGTGCACAATAACAGTCTGTTTACATTTGTTGTACATTTGTTGTCTGCCACTTTAAATGCTCAAGCTCTTTAAAGGAGGATGGATTCTGTGTTTATTGTTTATCAAAAAAAGTGATTCCAATGATATCGTTCATCTGAACTGTTGTGGTTTTGACTATGTGGTGTGCTATTGGTTTTGATTTATAATCATTTCTAAGACTATCTTTGTCGTTATCATCCTTGGTGTGATCGGACCTTAACATTCAGTGATTGACAATTTTGAGGTGTAATGGAAACAAAATTACACAATTCAGTGGTGTTGGATAATGTCTGAAGACTTTATCAAAGCTACTGAAAGGTACATTGTGTTTTGACTAACAAGTTGCTACATACTGCTGCATGGTGAGGCTTGTATGTTATCGTTACTGATTTGTATACATTGTTAAAAAATTCTTCCTTCATTTTGTCAAGCAAACTCCATTTTAAAAGTTGATTGAACTATTGAAAGTAGAAAACTTGACGTTGCATAAATTTAGTTATTTTTAGGCAATTTATTATGAGCAACTTAAATTGTTAAACCACAAGAACTTACAATGCCAAGTTTGGTGATGAGGATCCAAATAACAGGCTGTAGTAACTCTATATAACCTTTTCAGTTAGACAAACTAAGAAAGTACTACATAACAATTTTATGTTGTTAATGCTCAGCATAGCTTAAAAACAAGATCACTGAACTTGGACCGGACCCACAAGTAAAAACATTATTTTTGAGTTTGTAGAACTTATTATATTATGTTTGATAAAAGCACAGGCCAATTTTAATTGATGTTTCAATTTTTTGATAAGTTGTTTACTCAAATCTCCTCAAGCTGGTTGCCTTAAATTTTTACAGTTTTCTCAACCTCTGATTTGTTTATACTGTATGTAGCGAATAGAGATGCGTTATATATTGTAATCTGCAGATAGTAGAGATTTTTTTGACACTGAATATTAGGAGTGTGCTGTCACTTTAAGACAGACTGCACGGACCGAAAAAACTGACAAACATAAGGTTTCTCAACTCTTCACTTATGACATAATCGAGAGAGAACTTGCCGAGACGGGTATTTAGATATCATTTTGTTTATGTGTCCGAAAGAGGAATCAATTCGGTGTTCGAGCGCTCTCTCTCTCTGTGCGCGCGGCTGTGCGCATAGATAACGCGCGAGTCCCAATTTTCGCCTCCTCTTCCGCATTTAAAATTGTTTTAATGTGTAAATTGGAAAGACAAAACGCATCCGAATTATAAACTCACTCTATGATGGTTAAATTTAGCAGTTAATCCGAGAATCACATGCGTGCCGAACCGTGGGCCCTGGTCCGTGCGGATCAACTGCGATCCGTTCCACCCCTAGTTTTAAGCCAGTTATGTATATCTTTTGCTGTAGTGTTTCAGTAGGAAATATCAGTTTACATTTTTAAACATTCATTCTGCCATTAATTGTAATAATCCAGTGAAATTTTTGTATGCACAAGGAGTCTGACAACAGCCAATGCTCCACACAGAGATCTGATCTCACCATCATCAAGTCCGTCTGCGATTACATGAAGAAACAGAAAAAACTGAGATAGACTAAATCCAGAAGAACTGTGGCAACGTCTCCCAAGACGCCTTACTCACTTACTCCATCTCTGGCTCTTGCTGATATGAATTGGTTTTAGGATAGTCTGTCTAATTAATCTTGGGTTTGTGACTGAAAGATTGTCTGGAAAAAAGTGTCTGCTAAATAACTGCTTGTGTACTTTCATGACACATTGACGTGGGTTGAGTAAATAGGCCTGTCAGGTTTATGATTGCGGTGTTTCCTTGTATTCATCGTACAGTCTGCTCGAGAGGAAGGAAGAAAAAAAGGTGCAGCATGTTGGATTCACGATTTGCGTCTAAATTGTAGCTGAGAGCAGAATGTGACCACATAGCAGCTGCTCTAGAATGGTAGGAAGGGCTCGGTCCTGAGTTGGGTTTCCCCTTTCCGTGGTGTGTTGTACGGGTGCGGGGGACTGATAAGATCAGGGAGCAGTGACACCCGTCTGTCTAACACACACTCACACACTTTCCCTGTTTTCTGCCATGCTGCCTCCCTGCTGCCTCCCTGCTGCCCTATTGTTGAGGTGACCACACCAGCCATGGCACTGGATTCCTCCCTGCTGTCCCTTCTAAGCAGGTTCCAAAACCTAGTGAGCTGCCTTCTAAAGGCACTCACAGCAAAGTTTTTTCAAGATACACTGACTTTTGCTCATATTTTTGCCCCAATTTGCAGTCTAGGCCCTGTTTATACCTGGTATTAAGATGCGTTTCGGGTTGATCGGATCACAAATAGACGAGGAAGACACATACCCGTTTACACCAGGTGTTTTAATCTGTCTCTTTTGTCCACTTTCAACCCCTTCTGTCCTGATTTCTTTATGGGGAGGGTTTATGGGCAGGTCTATATAATCCAATGGATAAAATAAGCTTGTGCAATTTACATGAAAGCGCCTAAAGACAACAGAAAAACATATGGCGAGCAGCAGCGTTCGTTTTTGCTCTGACAGCCGTAAGACCACTCCGAACGCTGTGAGTGTGTTCGAAATCAGGAATGGTGAGAGAACATTGTGATTTTTGTCTTCAAACCAAACTTGGTTCTTCAGCCAACAAAGTTTAAATCCTGTCTGGTTAGCGCGGAGAAGGTGGTCTTTTGTGGCTGTTCGAACACATTCGACCACATGAGCGTTTACACTACTAAAGCAATCCGGTCGAATGCGTTTGACCACATCTGGAAGTGGTAAAAAGTGGACAAGCACAAAACGTATTAGACCCTTTTTACACCTGTACACTTGTAATCCGATCGACCAAAACAAACCTTAATACCTGGTGTAATAAAGGCCCTAGATGAGTCAACAATAGTTGTTATTGCAATAACAATATCGTAGTGTATGATGTGTCGCTACTGAAACCGAAGCTGTCCTTTATCTACCAGTGTTGCAATACAAAAGTAAATTAACAGAACACGCGTAACAAATTAGCCTCAATATTTGACTCATCAGCACAGATACAACAACTGACTGCACCACTGACCTCTAACTTCCGTTGTAATCTGTACGTCCACACTCACTGCGTTTACCCACCCAAAGACCGCATCCAAATGTGCTTTCCGTTGTGACTCAGCCGTTCAACAACTACTGCGGTCATCTCCTGCACATCCATGCTTGTTTCATCTGTCATGCGTCTTCTAGCAATGAGGTGCGTATTTTCTGTGTGAGTTCGGAACGAGTTAAAAGTCTTGGAGTGTATTATCCTCAGTGTATGATGCCCAGTTTTTTTCTAACCATTTTCAAAGTCAGCAAGTGTATGATGCCTAGCGTTTTAAAATCTGTTCAGATTCCAGCCTTTAGGGGTGAAAAGAACATTTGAAATACTTTGTCAGCGGAATAGTGTTAGCGAACCTCCCGACAGCGCTCGTGCTGCAGAAAGTGGCGTTTAGAAGAATATGTAAATATGTGCTGCTGGTAAAGAAGCGGCAGATAAGACAGCATCTGATCATTTGTTTAAGTCTGACATCACACGCCACCACTTCCGGGTCCAAACGCTCTTATCAGATCCCAAAAGCAAACAACAAACGGTACTACAATACACACACATTGTGATGTAATACTACTGAAAAATCCTAACCTTTATCTCCACACTGAAATCCCTGATGGCCAGTCAGTTTTTTTTAAAGCTTAGCTTAAATGTGTGAAACAAGTAGAGGCTTGGACACGGAAACAGTATTCCATATGTCATGACAAACAGATAGCAATGTGCAAGTCATGATTACTTGTATACCATTTTTATACGATATATTCTCAGTGTCGCTTTCAATTCGAATTACTACAGTTTCTACTATAAAGCGGCTCTCCAGTGTGTTCATGTTTTATCTGACTTTGACGGACACATGGAGGATTTGGAGGATACATGTTCTTAATTCAAAATAATGCCACAATGCACATTAACTTATTTTAAAATGTAAATTTTAGGGTGACATACTTGGACATGTTCTTGACAAGCTTTATGGGATTCACCCTTACAAAAGATAATGGTGAATATAGTGTGTAAATGGTAGGTTATGTAATACTTTTATAACATTGCCAACTTTAATTGCCAAGACACTAGCCGTTTCTCAATGTCAAGGAAGGATCCTCGGAAGCCGGAATTTCGAGGATGCTACGTCATCGACATCCGTCGAAGGACTGTTCCAATGTCGAGGATCCTCAGAATTTCAACCAAGGACTGAGTCCTTCGTTCGGAAAATATCCCATACACAGGAAAGGATGCATATGTGTAGACTTCGCGCTCTTCGCGCTCTCAAATCGCCCACAATCCTATGCGCGTAGCTTTGCTATCTTGTTAAAAAAATACACAATGTCGGACGTTAGCGGAGTCGGAGCAATAACGGGGCAATATGCTTTCAAATGTAAATATTTACGTTACCATACATTTGTTATAACCGTCATATAAGTAAAGTTTAACGTTTAAATGCCAGTACAAATTACTACCTGTATTGATATTACAAATTATACAAATATATACTAATTTAATACGTTATTGATGGCTAACTGAACCGGACCTGTCATTTGAACAATTGTTAGCTTGTTTGCCGTCACCGGCATTTCTTTTATAAATAACTACTTAAGTTGTACAAAGTAATGTAAAGTTAATATTATACCATTCGGAGCGTTATTCATAGCTTTCTCGTCTTTTTTAGCAGGGACCAACGGACCTTTTCACTGACGTAATGACGCAATAACGTGCACTTGCTAGCCTGTTCCATTTACGTGTTCTCCAAATGCTAAGAGGAGCCTCGCCTAGCCTCTGAAGGAAATGACTTGGAAGGACGAGTCCTGCCAAGGAAGTATCCTTGACATTGAGAAACACCTTTTGTTTGGCTGGTGGTTTGTAATGAGAATGGCGGATTGGCCAGTTTGTCTAATGATTATGAGAGCTGGAAAGTGCCTCTTGAATGACTGACACCAGTGTATTTCGCCGATCCCCAACTCCTTCCTCAGCAAACAGCTTCGGTTACACACACGTGCACAAGGACGCTGTACATTCCTGTCACTCTTCAAGACAACTGCAACCGCACAGACATGAAATTCAACCATTAATCCTCAATGTTTTTTTGTTTGAGCAGTGAACTTGATCTGTTCCACAGCTTCACTCCACACATATAGAAAATGTTTTGCATCCAAGGGCCAAAATGAGCGCCCAGTTAAGAACCAGTTGAGAATTAAAAAAAAAAACTTGTGGTCAAATAAACGTTCCAGTTGGGTGGTTACTTTATTGTGGTTGGATTTTGATTTGTAAGAATAATAGTTTGACCTTCGCTAATGTAAAACATAAGCAGTTTGAAAAGTCAAACTGTAAAAAGTCTGTTGAAAACATCACAACTTGGATGTCATTGAAATATTCACAGGATGCCTGAATCATGTTTATTATTATTTGTTTTAAATCTATAATTGTGTGACATAATTCTCAAATTAAAGGGTTAGTTCACTCCAAAAGGAAAATTCTGTCAGTAATTACTCACCCTCATGTTGTTCCAACCCCGTAAGGCTTTCGTTCATCTTCGGAACACAAATTAAGATATTTTTGATTAAATCTGAGAGCTGGATCACTCCCCCATAGGCTTCTTAAGGGATTGAAACTTGCCGGCCGAGAAAAGTTAAAGACTTCGTTAAAATAGTCCAAGTGACTACAGTGGCTCAATCTTGAGTTTATCAAGCGACGAGAATACTTTTTGTGCGCAAAAAAACAAACAAAAATAACGACTTTATTCAACTATTCATTTCCTTCTCTGTGGGCCGTGAGATTTCACGTAGTGGAACTGCGCAACGCTACTAGGTTGTACTTCACACGCATCACACACAAGACCTGCGTCGGCCAATAGTGAGTCTACATGTGACGTACAACCTAGAAGCGTTAATTTGTGTTCCGAAGATGAACCAAAGTCTTACGGGGTTTGGAACAACATGAGGGCGAGTAATTACTGACATTTCATTTCATCAACTAACCCTTTAAGGCGCAAACATACAAATATGAGCAGGGTTGGTTCTATTGTGAAACTAAGGTGAAAGAAAATACTTTTAAATATTTAAATGGCAAATTCATCTACCATTGGTAGGTAAAATTACATTTTGGACCCTGTGCCTATAAATCTCATTCTGTTTAGAGGGACATTTTTAATTGTGTTTGATTGTCTAGTTGCCGACTGGTTTGACAGCTGTTGTCTGGCTCTCAGACTCTCAGCATGGTTCTCAGCTGTAGCGCTCAGGATCGTGACTCACAGGAAGTTCTTCTCCGAGTGTTTGTGTTTACGTGTGCACATGATTGTGTGTCATCTCAGGTCAGCTGGTTGTCAATACAAAGCAATGGTATAACAGCTGTTGTTGGGCCTCACACAATCCTTACTGCTCTACGCACACACTTAGCGTGTGATCTCTGCGTGTGTGTGCAGGAGCGCAGCAGTCATCCAGCCAGGACTGAAGATCAGGATGGAGAAGGAAGACCTGAAGATTGTCAACAGAGATTTGGAGGATGAGATGGTATATATTATTTTTGTTTCTCCTTCCTTTTTATGCTTTTTTTCCACCTCTTATATAGCTCATTGATTTTCTTTCTGTGTAGGAGTTGAGCGGGTATCGGCTGTGCCGATGGAAGCTGGTTCTGGTGGGTTTAGGTGGTCTGTGTACAGGCGGTTTTCTTTTCCTGCTGCTCTATTGGATGCCTGAATGGTGTGTGAAGGCCACCTGCACACGGACCGCTGTCAGAGACGCAGAAGTCGCCCTCTTACGGAGCACTGTATGTCTTAAACTTCTACAAAACTTTACAAAACCTTACATTATCATGCGTTTTGAATCTGGATTGTATCTTGAAATTCTTAGATATTCTAGATTGCATTTATCTAAAGTATTTATTGTATACAATACATACTATAAACGTTATTAAATATTAAAATATTATTTTATTAATAAGACAGGAATGCCCCTAAAGAAATAAACAATAAATAAATAATTATGATTTTAAACTTAGAGACATTTATTGACTTATTAATCTTAGTTGGTGTTAATTTCAACATTTACTAATACATTATTAAAATAAAAAGTTGTATTGTTTAACATGAATGTACCTTAAACTAACATGAACAAACAATGAACAGTTTTATTTTTATTTTGCTAATGTTAACAAAGATGAATAAATACTGTAACAAATGTATTGCTCATTGTTAGTTCAGGTTAGTTAATACATTAATGTTAACAAATAAGACCTTATCGTAAAGTGTTACCGCTTTATCTGTGCACGTGCCTTTATGCAGAGGAGTTTATGAACACTAAATATTTCAAATAATTCAACTTGATAGTCTTTAACATAATTCTGAATTACGGAATGCTTCAGACGTCATGTTCTTCAGTGGTAGATAACACTTAACTCTGAGTCAGCTGAAAGGCTGCCGGTCATAATTCTAGTGTGTCGTGCTGTATCTCTGTGTTGTAAAGTGAACATTGGCAATCAAGTACATCACTTGTTAAAGTGAAACATCATTCACACATTTTTTAAATAAAATGACATTTGGTTTCTTTAATGTAATGCCACATTCCTGTTTTCATTCTTAAGCTTTGAGAAGTTGCCTGTAAATGTTTTTTTATGTTCATTAAGATTACAATTTGTTTTAGTTGTTGCCTATTTGTAATAGAAAATGTCACGTGTTTGGGTATAATCTGTTTGTTTGTCCATAGGATGAGTTTAAGCGCTGGTTTCGAGCGAGGGTTCGGATAATGTTGGCCCCTGGGAAGAACCCTTACGACAACCTTGCCTCTCAGACCGCCTCCCCTCAGGCCAATGACCACGCCCACAACCCCTCTGACTCCGCCCCTGGGAAAATCACCAGGAATCAAGAGGACCAGCATGTGCAGGTATTATATGCACCAAATCTGTCTTATCCTTCCTACACAAATTCTAAACGATATAGTTAAGCTTCATTGGTGACTGAATAAGTGTCTTTTCTTTTTGTATTACAGATACGTTATTTTACCCTCCACAGCACTAAGTACTTTTGGAACGACACCATACACAACTTTGAAGTATTGAAGTAAGGAAGCATGTCTGATTTATAGCTCCTGAATCTTAAATGGGAAGCTCAGCCAAAAATGAAAATTCTGTCATCGTTTACTCACCCAAATTGTTCCAAACCCGTTAAAAGACTTTCGTTCATCAAATTTCTGAAACACAAATGATGCTATTTTTAATTAAATCTGGGAGATTTATCTCCTTCTATTGAAAGTCTATTCAGATGCTTCAATACGTTTATAAAGAGATCGTAATAGAAATCCATAAGGGTCGAGTGTTAACCTAAAGCCGCTTTTCCAACATTGATCAGCAAACAATGTTTACATAATTCAAATTTGGTCACAGAAGCTCAAGGACATTCGCTTGACTTCCGAGAACCAATGAGGTTTCATTCTCGTGTTACGCAGCACGTTTAAGCTTCCACAAGAACCAATGAGATTTGTTCCTGCGAGCAAGTACGGTTGAGCTTCTGTTTATTTCCGCTGGCGCTGATCAATGTTTATATGTGAATAAAAGCCTAAATTAAATCTGTTCACTATATAAAACGATCAAGTGTCCTCAGAAGACTTGGACTAAACTGCTCAATTCATATGGATTACTTTTACAATATCTTTATGAACTTTTTGAAGTTTTTGGTAAATAGACTTTCAATGGAAGGAGAGAAATCTCTTAGATTTCTTTAAAAATATCTTTATTTGTGTTCCGAGGATGAACGGAAGACGGAATGACTTGGAATTTTCAATTTTGTGTGAACTATCCCTTTAAGATTGGTGAAAATGTTACTCTGAATCCCTGATACTGTTGTTAAAACTATTGTCTCTGTTCTGCAGAGGCCTGGAGGATCTGAGCATGACCTGCTCATCCGTTCACTCAAAGCACAGTGGCGGGATCAACAAAAACCAGCAGGAGTACAGGTGAAACCTTTGGCTGAATTTGACATTTTTTAAGGTAAAGGCTCAGTAAAATGGTTGTCCTGTCAAGGTCACCAATGTTAAGTTGGCCAACATAGATTTTGTCGAAATTACCAAAGTAACTGGGATGGACATGGAAGCATAATTTTAGATGGATGGAAACATTATAAACAAATCACAATATGCCATTATTTTCTAGCAACAGTGTTTAAAAATCCACTATTTTGTATAATATTTTGGTAAAACTTCACAATATGGTCTCATTTGTTAACATTAGTTGATGCAACTAATAACACATGAACTAATAATGATCAATATATTGGTTACGCTTTATTTTAAGGTGTCTTTGTTACAGTGTAATAATGCAATTAAGTACTGAGTAACAACATGTACTTTAGGGTGAGGAGTTGGGATTGGTTTGAGGTTAGTTGCTTGTATTTATTTATGCATAATGTACTGTTATTACTATAGTAAGTACATGTAACATTTAACAAGGACACTTTAAAATAAAGTGTTAACATATTTTATTACAGCATTTATTAACCTTTAATGTGCAGTGCATTAACTAATGTTAATAGGTACTTTTGATCTGAAAAGGTATTAGTAAATTCTGAGATTATTGTAAACTGTTACCAATATTTCTAAAATATTTTAATATATATTTTCACACATAAAAAGATGTCACTTATAATGAAATGAAATGTTTTGTGGGGAGGCCATCCTGATTATTGAGCCCTGAACTGGATTGCACTGACTGTACAAATCTCACTTAGTCCTTTTCTTCTCTATTTTAGGAGATTTTTTTTCGGACTAAATGAAATAGACGTGAAAGTGCCTTCTCTTTTCAAGCTGCTAATTAAGGAGGTACGAGTGACATGTGAAACTGACCCAGGCCGGAGAACGGCATGATACAGCACTGCTGATTCTGCTGTTGAGAATATGTCTTCTCGGGAAATAAGTGAACTGAAACTTCTCCATCTCTTTTGCAGGTCCTCAATCCTTTCTACATCTTCCAGCTCTTCAGTGTTATCCTGTGGTGTACCGATGAATATTATTACTACGCAATGGCCATAGTCGTCATGTCCTTCATATCAATAGCTACCTCTCTCTACACTATTAAAAAGGTAAGCAGGCTTGTAAAACGGTTTGAAACGGCATTTAAATATAAATATTTTATTTCCGTAATGATGTATTTTGAGTGGAACGGAATAGGGAGTGAGTGACAGGGCAGAAGTTGATTTAAAATTTTGGGATCATTGTGAGACTCTGACCAATAATGATATGTCAGTAATTATTTTCAAGTTTTGGCCATTAACTAAAAAAATCAAATGGATTATTAGAATTCTATGCTATACAAAATGATTATTTTGTATATATTTATAAATAAATAAAATATTTATATAATATTTTTATATAAAATATGTACTTGCTGTTTTGTATTTTATATATATATATATATATATATATATATATATAATGTGTGTGTGTGTATATTCAATTTTGTTATAATGTTATTTTATTAAAGACAAAAATGCCTGAAAAAAATTTTTTTGGCCTGTATTAGTCTAGAATTTTAATATTGACCATTATAGGTTATTTTGTATAATATGCAACATAATTATTGTACTCTATACATACAATAAATGTGCTCTATACTATTTTAAATTTAATATTATTAAATATTTAAATACTATTTAAAAAAAACCCACTGGAAAGCCCCTAAAAATAAAAAAAATATTAATTTAAATATTTCATTTTTCATTTTCATTTTCATTAAAGACAAAAAATCCCCAATAAACAAACAAACAAAAATGTGTCATTTTACAAAGCTTTTACATTTTAAGATTTGTTTTTGTAGAATAACAAGCACTGACGAATCATGCATATTAAAACTATAGACATTTATTGTAATATAACATTAATGTAACAATTTGATTACTCTAATAGATCAGTATGAAGTTGGATTTTAGAGATATCAAGCTTAGCTGTTAGTCATAGGGCGTATCCTAGGTTAGAGTTGATGCTAATTTTCTGAATGCTTAACTGAGATATGCTAACAGTTAATGTGTGTATTTTATATGCCTATTAGATTTACTGTGCTGCCTGGACACGCAAATGTTTATTTGGTCTTCACAGGAAAATTTTCTTTTGTTTTACAGCAATATGTAATGCTACACGACATGGTGGCAACACACAGTACTGTTCGAGTTACGGTCTGCAGGGGCGAAAACGGTACGGCTTAGTGAAGAAAATGCTTTTTCAGAACATCTAAGTATATTTGTAATGGCGTACACTGCTGCAGGCCTGGGTTACCTGCTTCAGGGAGTCTGATGTAGTGGCCAAAGTCACGATGACTCAGCACTCTGCCTCCTGTGCAAGAAAGCATGGGTAATAAGTGATCTGCTGAGACAGACTGGTTTTATTTCACTCCTCGCTCTTCCCCACCCTCCCTCTCTTTGGCTTCTGTTTTTGCTGTACAGAAACGGAGGAAGCCCTGTCCACAGACTTGGTCCCTGGTGATGTCATCGTCATCCCCAGTAACGGGATCATCATGCCCTGTGACGCAGTGCTCATCTGTGGAACCTGCATTGTGAATGAGAGCATGCTCACAGGTGATTGGCTGCATCCAAACGTGATGTCATAACAACCGAGCCCACTAGAGTGGGGCAATATAGCTTAAATTTTATGTATATAAACTAACTATAAACCAAATTTGCTACTGAAGTTTACATTGGAGACGCTATTAAACACCTGTATATAAATTATATGGTAACGCATTACAATAAGGTTCCATTAGATGACTTTAGTTAATGCATTAATTAACAATGAGCAATACATTTGTTGTTGTATTTATTATTCTCTGTTATTGTAAGTTAATACATTTACAACAGTTCATTGTTAGTTCATGATAGCTAAGATCCATTAAATAATATTAACAGATACATCTTTTGACATTAACTAAGATGAATTAATGCTCTAGAAGTATTTTTAATTGTTAGTTTAACTAAAATGGGTATCTAATGTTAACAAATCTAACCTTTTTGAAGTTTTATTAAAATTTTAATTAATGTTTGAATTAAAATAATAATGATGTTGTTGTGATTAGGATTAAGTTAAACTTTTACTGGAAATTATTAACATTTATTATTTACTTGTCTTTTCTGAAATTTGTTTGGATTTTATGTGATCATAAAAATCATGAGCATCATGCTAATTAACTTTAAATAGTGTTACAGATTTCATTTTATCTTCGGTTTATTATTAACGGGTAATATTATTATTTGTAACAGTTATTTTTTAATTGATCATACTGTTTATTATTTGTGAGTAAAATAAAGTATGGGTAAAACTATTTTACAGTGTCATTGTTACATGTACTTACCATAGTAATTATGCATAATTACATGCAACTAAACCAAACCTAATCCTAACCCTATAGTAAGTACATGTTGTTAATTAATATTACTCAGTACTTAAATATATAATAACACTGAAACAATGATCCCTTAAAATAGTGTAACCAAAGAATGTTTATTTCCATGTTCTCCTTTCTTTTAGGTGAGAGTGTTCCGGTCACCAAGACGGACCTTCCGAACCCTCAGCAGGACAAGAAGGGTGGGGATGGTGACACGATCTACGGCACGGAGGAACACAAGAGACATACGCTCTTCTGCGGCACGAACGTCATACAGACCCGCTACTACACGGGAGAAATGGTTAAAGCGGTGGTAGTGCGGACAGGTAAGAAGCCAGAATTACTGCAATGTTTTGTGGGATATATCTGATGCTGCCTTAAATTTGGTGCCTTAGTAGACGGCATAATTGTGCTGCCCATCTGATGCTTGAAATGCAGTTTCTTGATGTTTTCTTTTTCTATTCTAGGTTTCAGCACTGCTAAAGGGCAGCTCATCCGGTCTATCCTGTACCCCAAACCCACAGACTTTAAGCTGTACCGGGACGCCTACCTGTTCCTGCTGTGCCTGGTGGCTGTTGCCAGCGTCGTCTTTGTCTATTCTTTAGTCATGAAAATCATAAATCAGGTTTTTATCCATCTTTACTGTCTTAAAAAGAGCAGCATCACATTGTTGTGATGTCAGTCCCTCTTAGTTGTAGGATATATAACAAAATTTGAGCAGAATTTTAAATGATGTAATTGAAAATGTGAGCTGTTCAATGAATTAATCTAGTAAATAAAGTGTGGGAAAAGCGCACCTCCCCATTATGATGTGTACTCTGCAGGAACCAGTAAAGGAAATCATAATCAAGTCTCTGGACATTATTACCATCACGGTGCCGCCTGCGCTGCCGGCAGCCATGACAGCGGGCATCGTCTATGCTCAGCGGCGCCTCAAGAAAGTGGGGATATTCTCCATCAGCCCTCAAAGAATTAACATCTGTGGGCAGCTGAACCTGGTGTGCTTTGACAAGGTAAATGTGGGAAACTGAAGTCCTTTTTTGTGTTTGGTGAAACCTGAAATAGTCGTAAATGAAATAAAAGTCAGATATTCTGGATGATTTTTAAAAACATTTAATCTGGGTTTTTTTTATTTATAAAACTAGGGTTAATTCAAGTAAATTGGGGTGACATTTTGGCACCTCAGTGCCTAATAATAAACTGTTACTTAATTCACAGTTTGTTTTTTACAATGCATACCGTTTCTAAGCAGCTTTACAGAAACTGCATGTTTCTATATTACAGAGTGAGCTGTTATCAGGTGACTGTCAACATTATGTCCATATTTAAAAAATGTACAGTTCTAAGATAATACAAATCATGCAGTTAGCTAATACCATGTGTTCATTTAAGGAAGAAACAATGAGCTCATTAAGGCAAATATTAAAAGTTGTGGACATGAGTAAAATACTTTATTTTATAAATTATTATTTTTATACTTAATAGTTATCTGATAATTTAATATTTATTTAATAATTTATTTAAATTTTACTATTAATAACAAAAAAAAGTTTAATAAACTCTTTTTATATTATTACTACTACTGGTAATTGCAATTTGCAATAAGGTCTCATTTGTTAACATTAGTTAATAAATGACTAATTAACAATGAGCTATGCATTTGTTAAAGTATTTATTAATCTTTGTTAATTTTAGTTAATAAAAACAGCTGTTCATTACTTAATGCACTGCGAACAAACATGAACAATGTAGTTAACTAATGTTAAAAATTGGTGTTACCAAAAAGTGTTACCATTTAAACTATTTATGTATTAGTGCTATTGATATCAATAATATCAACATCAATGATATCAATACAATAAAGATAATAATAAAAATAATAAGAAATTATTTTTATACTAAACAAAACAATTAAGGCTTGCTTTTTAGACATTTTAAATATTGTATTATTCTGTATAATTTCAGACAGGCACCCTCACAGAAGATGGTCTGGACATGTGGGGAATTCAACGAACAGAAGATGGCAGGTAAGATAAACTAGATAAACCTTCTCAGTTGTTTTTTAAATTAACATGGAGGAACCTTTAATTGTCTTTTTTGACCAAAGAATCTCTCTTCCCTAGATTCCACCATTCAGAAGAAAAAGCAGATGATAAGAGTTTAGTAACAACCAAGTTTGTCTCCTGCATGGCCACCTGTCACTCCCTCACTAAGATCGAGGGTCAGCTCTCTGGAGATCCACTCGACCTCAAGATGTTCGAGGCCACAGGCTGGGTCAGTGTCTGCTGTGACAGGAGAACAGATTGTTATGTCCTCATTCAAGTTTTGGAACAATTTGTACTTGTTTTTACATTTTTTTGGGTGTCACTCTGTCTATCTATGGTCTTCAGATCTTGGTGGAAGCCACAGAGGAGGAGACGGCTCAACACGACCGCATTGAACTCACTTATGTAAAACCGCCAAATCAGCTTCTGCCGCCACCAGTAATATCACCTGAACAGGACATGGTGAGCGTTTAAAAATCTCATTTATTCCTGTGATGGCAAAGCTGAATTTTTGGCTGTCATTACTCAAGTCTTCAGTGTCACATGATCCTTCAGAAATCATTAAATCATTGCCCTGGAGGAAGAGATTTATTTTAATCTCAATGGGACCTTCCTGGAAAAATAAAGGAAATAATAATAATAATTATCATTAATATTATCAATATTGAGAATAGTTGTGAAACCTTTATTCCAAAGAATAGCATTTATTTGAAATAGACATCTTTTTTGACATCATAAATGTCTTAACTGTCACTTTTTGATCAATTTTCTAAAGGTATATTTTTGGGTGTTTTTGCCTTAATTGGATAGTACAGTCAAGGTGAGACAGAAATCGATAGGGGAGGAGAAGAGGGGCACAGGATCGGGGAAAAGACCCAACTCGGGTCGCCCGAAGCACTGTTGCACTATATGTCAGAGCTCTGCCCACAAGGCTATGGCTCTGTAGAGCCCTATTATTTCTGCAATAGAGAAAACGTGGACGGAATTGCCGAATCCAGTCATAAAACTGTATAACACGGAATTTGTCAAATATTAGATGAATAAATGAAAAGCAGGTCAATACTTGAATCAAATCGTGATATAGACTAGTGTCTGTGAATATTAAACTGCAAAAAGACTATTAAAATACAAATCCTGCATGTTCTGTGTGAATAAATGGTTTCATTTACCGCACACACACACACACATACACTCACTGAAGCACTCGTGACGCTTGCGGTGTTTTCAGCCTCTGCCGCCTCACTATATGAGGACATGAATGCATGAACTTCGTTTCCAGAGCCTTCATCTCCAGCAGCCTGTCAAAATAAAAGTTCGGTTTAACGTGAAGAAATTGTGTCAGTAGAATTTAGCTTCGTCTCAATGTAATAATACGAACACTAATAATAATAATAAATAACTATTGAAGCTATATATTTTTAAGGAATAATCACAATTGTTCTCCTATGTTTTTCAAATTTAACAGTAAAGGTCTGTTGTGCAGCACTTTGTTGGACAAAAAGTTTAATTTCATATGATTAAAAGATAAATTAAATTGTTTTATGCCTTCATTTGATTGCCAGAGAAATTAAAATGCACAACAGAATTTCTGGGGGGGGGAAAATCTTCATAGAAATGAAGAAGAAAAAAAAGTTGTTTTTAAGAATTCAATTAATTAGACAAGCTTTTTGATTTATTAAAATTTAATCAAACCATTAAAATGGAACAGAAAACCGAATTTGGAAATTAAAACGGAATCCTGATTTCATAGGGCCCTAGCTCTGACACTTTTAATCAATTTAATGTATCCTTGCTGAATAAAAATATTAATAAATAAATAAATAATCTTACTGACCTGAAGTTTTTGAATAGTAATGTACATATTCTGCCCATGAAGCTAGATATAATAAATGTTTTACGCATGTTTGATGAGCATTTCTCTGCTTATTATGGTCTAAAGTATTTGTTTAAAAATATCAGTGTATTCACAACATTGTTCTGATCTCTTGTGATTTCCTTTCAGGAACTGTCAGAACTCTATGAGCTCTCGGTATGTACAAAGGCTATTATTTTTCTGAATTTCATTATGAACGTATATGGGTGTGTACATGCTTTCTGTCGTGTCTCGTGCAGGCGTCCTATATGATCGGTATTGTGCGGCAGTTCTCCTTCTCCTCCGCCCTGCAAAGAATGAGCGTGGTCGTTCGTCAGATTGGAGAGAGACGCATGGATGCGTATCTGAAAGGAGCACCGGAGGTTGTGGCAAGCCTGTGTAAGAAAGAGTCAGGTGAGTGGATGTTCCGCCCATTATTATCATCTTTTTTCTGAATTTCAAATCAACATTGGATTTTTTTTCTTCTCACGACGCACCACAGTACCAGAGGATTTTGCAGAGGTTCTGGAGGACTACACCAAACAGGGTTTTCGGGTCATCGCGCTGGCACACAGACGACTAGAATCCAAACTTACATTTCACAAAGTGCAGAACATTAACAGGTAAAGTTTAAACTTCATTAAACTCTTTACTAAGGTCTTTTATAAAATTATTTGCAGTGTTATGCTGTGACTTTTATCATGTAGTGCCACTATGCGATTAATGCCAAGTTGTATTTGGTTTCTCTTCTACAGGGATCAAATTGAGAAAAATATGGATTTTCTGGGTTTGATTATCATGCAGAACAAGCTGAAAACAGAAACTCCAGGGGTTCTGGAAGATCTACGACGTGCCAACATACGCACCGTTATGGTCACAGGTAAACGAGACTTTTTCCTGGCTTGCAACTGTGTGATTTCAGAAAAACTGGGAGTTTAATACAGTTCCTGAATATTCTTTTCAAAAAGTCATTTTAAACGTGGTTATTCACATACATTTTATAGAATACCGTTCAAAAGTTTGGGCTCAGTGAGATTTTTGAAAAGTCTCTAATGCTCGCCAAGGCTGAATTTATTTGATCAAAAATACAGTGAACGCAGTGATATTGTAAAATATTATTACATTTTAAAATGTTTTTTGTTTTTTTTTCTGTGATGGCAAAGCTGAATTTTCAGGATCATTATTTCAGTATTCAGTGACACATTTCTTATTATTATCAATGTTGAAAACAGTTGTGCTGCTTAATATTTTGTGGAAACGGTCATACATTTTTTTTTTTTTTATTCAGGATTCTTTAAAGAATTCAAAAGAACAGCATTTATTTGAAATATAAATCTTTTATAACATTATAAATGTCTTTATTGTCACTTTTGATCAATTTAATGCATTTTTTTTTTCAGAATAAAAGTATTAATTCCTTTAAAAATTTTTAAAAAAAATCTTACTGACACCAAACTTTTGAACGATAATGTGCATGTGCTAAATATAATAAATGTTATTCTGGTTCAGTTACCTTATTTGTGTTAGTTTACTTGATTAGCTTATCAAGAGTGGAATATGCCCATGTTGTTTGAAGATGGTAGGGCGTTTAGAATGACCAGCCGTGGGCAGACAGACAGGAGTCTGGGAGCTTTGAAGCTTAATTCATTAGGTATTCCTGGAATCTGGTCTAATAAGGTTCTCAGCTCTCCAGATTACCAGCCAAGCGCTCCAAAGTTCAGATGAGGCTGAATGCAGCATTGTGAACGTAAGCAGATTGAGTTTGTACATGACCCACGCTTACAATCATGAGGAACACTGGGTCATTGCCAGATATCAGCCATCATCACTGTTCACTAACAAAAAAGTACCATTATACCAGTATAATGGATGCGTACCCAGGTCCAAAAGAATGGGGTTTAAAAAGGACACCTTTAGTTTATTGCTTTTAGTAAGGGTTTCTTTCTTATTTTCTTCATCTTTTCCTCTCTTGTGCAGGTGACAACATGCTGACGGCCATCTCTGTGGCACGAGACTGCGGCATGATTCAGCCGCAAGACCGAGTCATTATTGCCGACGCTCTACCCCCTAAAGACGGCCAGGCTGCCAAGATCAACTGGCACTACGCCGACAAACCCGGCAAACCCTCGAACAAGCCCACCAAACTAGAGGTCAGTGTGCCATCTACTGGCCAGAACCTTTCACTGCTGTCACAGGAATGTTACATGTGAAGCTCTATCAGCAGCTTTTTTTGCATGTTGACAGTTACCCCAGTAAATAATTTCAGCTTGTCCTTTAGCAAAATCACTTTTACAGTAGGACACTTACAATGAAAGTACTCAAGGCCATACAATATACATAAAAAAACCTTTGGTAAGTGAAGTCTGCATGAAAATGAAGTCTTTTCTTCTCTATTGTGATGTATATGCGACTTCTTGAACGAGAAAATGTAGGGTGAGACTTGATTTTGTCCATTGGTAATTGATTGGATGGTTGTGGTTTGCTATTGCTGTGATGTCATGTGAGTGACAGGTTGTCCCGCCCTCGCACCAGTAAACGCGTCATCAGAGAAGAGGAGATCCTGCAAGAGGAAGGGGAAGTTATTTTGATGAAAGATTTTGAGGGCACACGAGTTTAAAAATAATAATTGTGCACGAAATAATTATTTGTGGAAAATGCTGCAGTATCCCATTAAAGAAACAAGAACTGTCCATTCTGATTTAATGGTGACTTTAAAACCCCAAAATGTTATCGATAAAGCTTTAGCTTCAGCATCTCTCTGTACTTGTGTTCTCTGATAGCAGGAGATGGAAATTATTATGGAAGATGGGCATTCTGAGACGAAACCACAGGAACAGTATCACTTTGCCATGAGCGGAAAATCTTTTGCTGTAATTATTGAGCATTTCCAGGACCTGCTACAGAAGGTTGGCTGAAAGCATATTTGCTTTTTATACCATATTTACACACGTGTGTCGTAATATTATATATGATATCTATGGTGTTTTTGTTGTTGTAGCTGGTGCTTCATGGAACAGTATTTGCAAGGATGGCGCCTGACCAGAAGACTCAGCTTGTTGAAACATTGGAAAGTGTAGAGTGAGTATTACACACACACCAGGATGGCTCATTATCTATTCATATCTAATTTGCACAAACCTCCACCTCCAAATGTTAGGTGTGTAACTCGTCCCGCACCTTTTGTGTGCGACCAACCTAAATGCAGGGTTCCGACGGTCATGAAAAACAGATTTTCTAATGGTGATTTTCATGCTTTGAAATTAAAAAACTTTTATAAAATCGTGAAAATATCTATAATGAATATACTACCGTTAAATACACTATAATACACTACCGTTAAAAGGTTTGGGGGTTAGTAAGATTTTATTTAATATATATGTGTGTATGTGTATATATTAGGGCTGTCAGTTAAACGCATTATTAACGGCGTTAACGCAAACCCATTTTAACGGGGTTAATTTTTTTATCGCGCAATTAACAGTCTTTTTGGCCTAGCAAACTTTGTAGTTTTTTTTCACATGCTTTTGCAACAGGACTTTTTGCAACAAACCACATGTGCGGCGCTGCGCTATGAAACCCATTTATTTCAATGGCTTGCGGTGCGTGAGAACGTTTTGTTGCTTCGTCGACCAAAGCGCGAGCGGATCTAGCTAGACCGGAAACAAAACAACAGGCACACCGCACACACTTGTTTAGGCTTGCGAGCCGGCCAAATAGTAGGTTAACGTTGCGTTTTGAGTGGGTGACAAGCGCGAGACGCCGAAATGGATGCCAATAAGATTCTGAATTGAAAGTTTACTTTTAAAAAGTTGCCAAATGGTTCCATTGACAAGACCAAAGTGATCTGTGTGTTTTCTCGTTGTCAACTGAGCTATCATCATCGCAGCACGTCCAGTCTGAAATACCACTTGATGATGGCCAAGCACACATGCGCGCACACACACACACACACACACATACACACACACACACACACACACACACACACACACACACACACATGTGGCCGGCTCGCACATGTGGACAGTGTTACATTGTGTGAGAGATTATTTGCTCCAAGTGAGAATGTTAGTGTGAAATTGAACACAGTATATGCCAATATTGTTTTCAATAAAAAACATTTGCACAAAGCAAGCCGATCCACTTTTCCATGTTGATAAGAGCATTAAAATGAGAAAAAATAATGGAACAAAAAGAAATCAAGAGACATTTAGAATAGATAAAAATGTGCGGTTAATTGCGATTAATCGCGAGTTAACTATGACATTAATGCGATTAATCGCTATTAAATATTTTAATCGTTTGACAGCACTAGTATATATATATTTATTTATTTATAATTTTTTGTTGTTGTTGTTGAAAGCTACTAATACTTATTGTTGATACTAATACTAATCTTGGCGAAAGCCGAGTACAAATCAGCATGAAGTTTTAACATCTACTCTTGTGTAATGGAAATCATGTTTAGCATGGATGTGTTAAGGCGAGACACTACAGATGAATAGGGTAATTTTTTTAACTGGCAGATATCACCATGAAACTTTCCCAGTTGATTACCTACATTAAGATGAGAAAAAAATGTATTACAAGTTTTCTGTAATTTAATGTTTAAATATGCAAATTAGGTATTATCTAATAAAATATGCACTAATTTGCATATATTTCAAAAAATGAAATCTGAGTATTGGATAAAGCCAGGTTCAAAATTCTTTTTTCATTGTGTTCACATATTAGATGGGAAAAAAATTACAGAGGGATTTATGGATATCTACTTTTGTTATCCTATAAATCAGAATATACTGTCAATAGCCTTAAAAAAAAAGATTTTTGCCATGTTTTTTGGAATAAAATGTTATATAAATCGGGCTAGGAATAATATATTTACAAATCCCTCTGTAAATGTCTTCATAATATAACTAGGTACAAGACTGGAAAGTTTGGTGTATATAGGTGCTACCGAAGTGGAGATTTCGGACTTTGAGTATGAGAGAAAAGTCATTTTGAGAAAACGGGCTTTAAAGATTTAGCATCAGCCAATGAGATTGCACATTTGCGCCCTTTTACTTTCACGATTGGTTGCTGATAAAAAGGAAATGACCATATTTGGATCCGACAACATTGTACAAGAGAGAGAGAGCTTTCTAACGGTGTGTGTGATGACAGGGTGCAGATCGCGATCGCGGAGCAACGGATGATTTACAACGCCAACTTTTGATGAATTTATGAGAAATCTACAGACGCAAACAGACAAAGTGCAGTAAAATAAAGACCTAAATGTGTATTTCGGACTTTTTTTCACCACAAGTCTGAAAGAAGACATGTTTTTGAAGACAAATATCCCGAAATCTCAAAATTGACCAGTGAAAAAAAAACGATGTTTTTGCCTGCCGTGTCTCGCCTTAAATTGAACTTTCTATTCATTAAAGAGCCCTTTAAAAATATATCACTGATTCCACAAAAATATGAAGCATTTATAATAAGAAATCAGAATATTAGAATGATTTCTGAAGGATTATGTGACACTGAAGACTGGAGTAAGGATGCATGAATGTCCTATGAATGTTGTCATAGGAATAAATTACATTTTAAAACATATATTTAAATAGGAAAGCATTTTTAAATTGTATTAATATTTCACAATACAACTATTTTACTTGATTAAATAAACTTAAACTTTGGTGAGCATAAGAAGCATAACTTCTTTTAAAAACATTTTTAAAAACTTGAGGTAATACTTTATTTTAATGTCCAATTATCACTATTAACTAGTTGCTTATTAGCATGCATATTACTAGGATATTTATTAGTACTTATAAAGTACATATTAATGCATGACCATATTCTACATCCCTTAATCATAAACACAATATCTAAACTTAACTACCTTACTAACTATTAATAAGCAGTAATAAGGAGATTATTGTAGTTAATAGTTAGTTAATAGTGAGAATTGGACCCTAATATGTGACCAAACTTACTAACCACAAACTTTTGAAAGGTAGTTGTATGTTTGTTTCTTTTTAAGCTTTAATTGGCTAGAATAAATAAAGTTACAGTTTTGCCTGGCAGAGGATAAAATTGGAAATAAAATGCATAGAGTCTAGACTTGAATGAGGGGCCTGAGCCATAACTAGAGACTATATCATCAAGATTAGTCTGATATTTGACTTGGTCCAGTAGGCAACCGTCTAGCAGTCTAGAAACCACTCACAACACCTTAACATTGTGACAATGAGTTTTGCCCAGGCAAGTACCGCCCACTTTCTCAACGAGAAAAAGTAAAAATCTTGCTAAACTTTTTTTTTTTCTGCTCTCTGCTGCAGCTATTTTGTAGGAATGTGTGGAGATGGAGCGAACGACTGTGGGGTGAGAGACCTTAAAAATCTGTTGTAAAACCTTTTCAATGGTGTTTCTTTTACACCTGTCATATGTTCTGAAAGTGTCATGTGTAGCTGCTGACGTCTGTCTGTTTCTTGCTCAGGCACTGAAGAGAGCTCATGCTGGGATCTCCCTGTCAGAGCTGGAGGCTTCAGTGGCGTCTCCCTTCACCTCCACAACTCCCAGCATCACCTGCGTGCCCAATCTGATCAGGTCTCCTAACTGCACCACAGCACGGCTCTGTTTTAATGCAGTCCTATAATGAGAAATCAAAACTTTCAGTATCTTTTGAAACAGTTCATTGTTCTACAACACACTGCAAGTTTCAGTACTGAAAACATTGAGTATTTTAACTGCAAAAATTTGGCTTCTGAGCTCAGAAACCCAAAAATGCATGACGTTTCGCATTTACACATCAACGGTACCTTTGATTAGGGTTGCACAATGAATAAAAATGAATTTCAATAAATGCTGCTCCACACAAACGTATCTCTGCATGTGCTTTGAGTTTGGGTCTGAGTGAGAACTGAATAAGACAAAAAATAAGATTTTACAAACAAATCTCAGAGAACGGTTGACTAGGTACCAATGTTTTATTAGACCAAAGGTTCATTTTGCGCCGGAGTTCTCCTTTAAGGGCTTTCTGAAATTAAAATAGCCATACATATTTGTATTGTAATTTTACAGTTGTGTTGTAAAATGAAATGATTAATAATATTTTTCCTGGATTACTTATAATTTATCATTATTATTATTGTATGGCACATTTTTGGGCTAAATTGTGCTGACCTACAAACAAGCACAGCAAACCTAGAGCTTTTTTTAGTCGGTTTTATCACAATTTTGAGTTTTATTTATTTTTTACTAAATTCATAAGGAGGATGGAGAACAGGCATAGGAAAACACAGCCTGTTTAATTCTAAGAGCCAAAAAAAAGAGTAGATATAAAATGACTCTTTTGGGTTTGATTAACTTTTTAATAATTTTTTATTAAAGTTTTTGTCTTGAAGGTGAAGTAAGGGAAACACTGTTGATATTTGAAAGCGACATCCAAACAAACACACCCCTATCTGAATGAAACACCCTCTCCCTTCCTTGCTCCGCCCCCAAAATAATAAAAACGCTGTGCAACAGAGGCAACGGCTAGCTGGCGCATCAGACAGCTCGTGCAAATATGGATGAATTCATCAACAGCAAATCTTGGTTCTGTGAAACAGCAAAACAAAAAAAAACAATGCTACTCACATATATCGAGTAGAAACAAAGCAACCTGAGAGGCTCTCTGATGTCTCTCCAGCGCCTGAAAGCTTTTCTAATATTAACGCGAGTCCTAGCTCTTGCCTGATCATAACCCTTCTTTTTCCAATAATATTTCCTCTTTGGTAATATCTCAGCCATCTCTCTTTCTACAGTCTTTCTGTAAATGCCCCTCTTGCTTACTCTCGCTTCTCCCCCATCATGCGTGGATACGCCCCTGCTGCTGATTGGCTTAAAGAGTGTTTTGTGGTCAGTGCATTGGTCCAATCCACTTTGTTTTTCTCCAATTTACACAACCAGTGCTATGTACAAACACTTATGTTTCAGCACACACAGAACAGAAATCTATCAAATGAATACAAAACTGTTTGTTTGGTTGATTTTAATTTCCAACAGCGTTTCTCAGAAATCACTGAACCTTTAATGAATCACAGTGACTTGATGAGGGTGCCTGTTTTGGCCTTCAACATTGTAGATGTCTTGTTTGCAGAATCTCACTTGTTGTTTCTCCCCAGGGAGGGACGAGCGGCTCTCATCACCTCCTTCTGTGTGTTTAAGTTCATGGCTCTGTACAGTATTATTCAGTGCCTCAGTGTCGCCCTTCTCTACTCCGTAAGTTCCCCTGTCATGATTTCAACCACAACAATTGACTGATCTGTAGTTAATATACATCTTTGACTGCATCCGAAATCGCATACTTCCCTACTATATAGTAGGCGGAAAAACAGTATGTGACCAAAGAAGTGTGTCCGAATTCACAGTACTCATAAAAGAGTAGGCAAATGTACCCGGATGACCTACTACTTCCGGCGAGATTCTAAAGTGTGCATATGATGGGCTCTTCACTATCCCATGAGGCCACGGGAGAGGATTTATGAATGGCAGTGAAGCGACGCAACTGATGCTGGTAGGTCACGTGACAGTGACAACATGGCGATTGTAGTACGTCCAGATTACAGTCATACTATATAGAACATACTTTTTTAGAGGTTGTGAAGTAATTACTTGTTCAAAATAAGTACCTACTCAAGAGAGTATGCGATTTCGGACGCAGCCTTTTACTTGGTTTTCTGTGCTTGAAGACAGATTGTGAGTAACCAAAGATCATTAGTTCTCGCTGAGATTGCTTATACAACCCTGATCCGTTAATAATGCGTTTCAGATTGGGAGTAACCTGGGCGACTTCCAGTTTCTCTTCATCGACATAGCCATCATTCTTCTTATTGTCTTCACCAGTGAGTGTCATCTGCAATGTCTTTCTTGTTCAGCTCAAATTTATCTTAGCATTGCCTGTTGTATTAGCCTGTTCTATCTTTTTAGTTTTTATGAATTATGCAGTAAAGCAAACTAGTCTTTGTAATACGGATTAGTGGATTCTGATCATCTGGTTTGAACCTTTTAGCCTCCACAATGCATTTCTCATTCCGTTTAACTCACCAAATGTGAAATTATAGAGGTACACAGAATATTAAATGAGGAAATAATATAGGACTGTTCTGTATAGTATCCATTGTGATTACATTGCATCAAATAAATAATAGAGTAATTAGCCAATTTGGATTTTATGTTGTCAGTAAGCATTTAGAAGAGTTTGAGCTCATGGTGCATTATTAATTAATTGTAAGCAGTGGTGGATGAAGTACACAAATCAAGTACTTGAGTAAAAGTACAGATACCCTAATAAAATAGTACTGCAGTAAAAGTAGTTGAGTAAAACTACAAAAGTAGATTTTTTATGTGCTCAAGTATTTATTCTAGTCATTATCAGCAATAATAAGAAAGGGTTACATTTTATTTTCAGGTGTCAGTACTTAAAATGTAAATTACACTGTAACACAGAGTAATAATAATGAACTACATGTCATGTACTTATGGTGCGTTCACATGCTATGGTAATTATGGTAAATACCAAAAGCCGACATGGAAAATGCACATGAACACCCCCTCATGTGGTATTTTCCACTGGGCAACTCGTAGAATATTTTGATGCACGAGTTGCCGAGATGAGATTACCTTTGACCTTTTCAAAATGGCGGAGAGCAACGCAAGAGTTGTGAATGGTAAAAATATGTACTATTCATGATCTAGAAAATATACAGCATATATTATTTACGTTTGAGTTTTGATAAATCATTTTCTTGCTGTAGCAGATGACTTAGCAATCTAAAATAGTTTTAGCTAAATAACAGGTCTGGATCTCCATCTTTTTACCACATTACGACAACAAAAGCACTTGAACGCAACACACTGGTAAATACCAGTTCACAAGTGGAAAATATCATATTTTCCATAGCACGTGAACGCACCATTACTATAGGGTTAGTTCCATGTAATTAAGTACAATTTGTAGTAATTACTACAGTAGCTACATGTAACGTGTAACAAAGACACTTTACCTAAGAAAGTTTAGTGCAGACATTTAATATATATTGTTCTGCAAATAAACATTTTATTTTATTACTAAAACGTACACATTGTTTTTTGTTATACTAATACATATTTACAGCTGACAGTCATGACGTAAATATGATTTTCATCTACAATAATCAATACAAAGATTTGGCATTGAGTAACTTACTTTTCATGGAATTCAAGCTATTACATTATCCCAATTCATTTTGTCCCGATTATTGAATCAGTGAGCCGTTTGACTCAAGAACAGCCGCAATCGAATCCGTCCGATTTGTGAACGAATCTTTCAGTGAAATTTGTAAAAATCATGAATCGAGTGGCGATTTCTTCTAAATAAACAAGAAACGATATGTTTTTATGAAATGTAGTGGAGTAAAAAAGTATGATATTATGCTTTGGAATCAAATGGTAGAAGTTTCCTAACAAAACAAATACTCAAGTACAGATTCTTGAAAAATGTACTTAAGTACAGTAACTAAGTAAAGCTACTTAATAACTGTCCATCACTGATTGTAAGTACATTATTGATTCTTTTTGCTGTAATTTCTCTCTTTTTCGCTTTCCCCACCCACTCTTAGTGAGTTTGAACTCCGCATGGAAGGAGCTCGTCGCCCGAAGACCTCCCTCTGGTCTCGTCTCAGTTCCTCTCCTCTTCTCAGTTCTGACCCAGATTCTCATTTGCCTGGGTTTCCAGATCATGGGCTTTCTCTTGATCCGAAAATTCAACTGGTACTCCAAGCCAGAGTGAGTATGCTGCACTGCCTCCAATGCGGAACAACTGATGTGTTTGTGCCCTAACCTTATAGTTGCATTAAAAACAATCTAATAATCTGACTGCTCCCCAATTTCATTGTTTTGTTCTGTAATTTACAGTTTCTACAACTGCTCTGCTCCTCATCACATGGATAACTCCTCCAAGACCAAAGAAGAAAATATCAAGAATGATGTGAATACCACACTCTTCTTCGTCTCCTCGTTTCAGTACCTCATTGTTGCCGTTGTTTTCTCCAAAGGAAAACCTTTCCGCCAGCCCAGCTACAAGAACTGTAAGGATGAACCTTTTTCAACTTAATGCATTCACAGTGCAGTGTAACAGACAAATCATAAGGCAGAAATGTTTTGAAATAATAATTGTCTTGATAGCATTTATGTTTTTATATTATTTTTCTCCCCATTTTATGCATATATTATTTGAAAGAAGTTTGAGAACATTTTGAAAATTTCCAAATGACTTAAATGTCTAAAATAAATAGAACAAAAAAAAATGAACAAGTGGTATCATTGTAATATTGAATTTGTATTGATTTGACAGAGGGAAGGCAAATCTAGTTCTCAGCTACTGTTCATTGACTGTGTTTCTGGTTGTCTGTTTTGTTTCTTTTAGGGCCGTTTGTTCTTTCTACTTTAATTCTCATCATTTTCCTGTTTTTCATCATGTTTGTCCCAATCTCTGGAATCTATCAATTTTTGGAGGTATAGTTGTTTCTTAATTGATTCCTTTAGATAATATATGTCCTGTTGTTTGTTCAATTATTTCAATACCTTTCACAATTCAATTATTTATTAATCATTTTAATATATTTTAAAATGTGATTTATTAAAGCGTTATTCATTACTCCAGTCTTCAGTGTCACATGATCCTTCAGAAATCCTTCTAATATGCTGATTACCTGCTCAGGAAACATTTCTTATTATTATCAATGTTGAAGACAGTTGTGCTGCTTCATATTTTTCTGAAAACCATGCATTTATTTAAAAATAGAAATATTTTGTAAGTAACATTATAAATGTCTTTAATGTTACATTGGATCAATTCAATACCCCTTTCCTGAATAAAAGTACTGTATTCATTTCTTTCAAAATACTTTTTTACTGATCTTACTGCATGTTTTAAGAAGTTCTCTTCATTGTCTCCATTCTCCTCAGCTCGTGTGTGTTCCTTTAAGCTGGCGTGTGGTTATGGTGCTTATCGTGCTGGGCAACACCTTAGTGAGTGTGTTCATCGAGGTAAGTGGGAACATCAGACTCTTACATCTCCCACATTATTTGTTGTGGATATTTACATATGAAAAGAAATTGTATTTCAATGTAATTCTGTTGCTAGTTCATATACAGTATTTAGGGAAGATAGAGTTGACCCTTCAGCCAGGGTCAATAACACACTGCTCTTGTTGTAACCCAATTAAAACCCTCAATTGTACTTGATGGCATATACACTGCTACAAAAAAAGACAAAAATAGGGTTGGGAATCAAAACCTGGTTCTTCAGAACTGGTTCCATTTTTATATAACATGGAAAAAAATCATTTAGTTAATGTACTATATATGCATGTAAACACAAGTTCTTATATATATATACACTGCCCGGCCAAAAGAAAAAGAAGTTGCTGTTTGAATTTAAATAGCCAAATGCTTTAGAGTCTATGATTGAATCATTATTGCAGTGATTATTATGTTTCTAGCATGTTATATGTTTGGAAACAGTTCTTCTAACCTTAATTGATGGTTGTTCAAGAAATGAAAAGCTACACACTCCATGTAGGAAGACGCATCATAGCCATATTCCAGGATGACAATGTCAAGTGTCATCAGGCTCCCTTTACTTTAAATAACATCACAACATTTATTTCCGTCAAGAGTTGCATACATTTTTGGTCAAGATCTTGTATTGACAATGCAAGAGTCAAACACTCTGTAAAGTCTCCTCCAGCACATCACAAAGACTTTCAATAAATGTATGGTCTGGACTCAGAAGTGCCAATTCATGTGTGAAAATGATTCTTCATGCTCCTCCCAACCATTCTTTCACAATTTGAGCCTGATGAGTCTTGACATTGTCATCCTGGAATATGGCCATGGTGTTTCTTTCTACACGGTTGTTTAAGAAATGAAAAGCTACACACTCCATCAATTAGGATTAGAAGAACTGATTCCAAACATATAACATGCTAGAAACATAATAATCAATGCAATAATGATCCAATCATAGACTCTTAAGCATTTTCCCATTTAAATCCAAACAGTGACTTTTTGGGGGGCAGGGAAGTATTTAATTTTTTCTATAGTCACAACAAATTACTCTTTAAAAACATCAGTTCTTTTCAGTGAATATTGAGCCAAAAGAGCTTCTAACTCATTCGTCTAAAATAGCTTGATCATGGAAGTATTTGGGACAATTTGCAATTAATTTGATTCATAAGAATTTCAAGTAATTAAATAAATTACAAAAAATATAATTGCTCTAAAATATATATTTATATGATAAATATGTTATAACGGTATTAGGATCAGTAATTTGGTGCTTCCTGAAAAGCACTAAAAGAATCATTAATGAATTGAAGGAGCGATTCCCATCCCTACACAAAAGTCAATTTCATCTGCTCTGCTGAGGCTGATTCACATGATAAGGAAACAGAAGTTATATTTTGAGCTATACAGCCAGCCAGGCCATGAATTGTACAGCGTGTCTGATTCCATCAGCAGCTCCTGCCTCTGAATCCCAAAGAAAAGGTCAAATTACTATCGTCCTCTTTGGGCAAACTCCTCACGCTTAGTAAAGAAATGCCAGCAATCATCGTAGTGGCATATAGCGGCTGTTTGCTTCGCCTCTAGATCCCGCCGTCTTCCCGGTGCGGACTACAGGTCACGCTCCTCCTCAGCCATTCTCTCTCGCCTGTCAATCATAGAACACTAGACTCCAGCAGCCAATCAGTGGGACGCGATTCTGTGATCTCGTTGGATGTTCATTGCCAATAAACTGATTATTTTTAGAACAGAATAAAATAATTCTCTTGCATCCCTCTATTTCTCTTTAACACACAATCCAAAAAATTCAAGAAGAAATGTATTTAGTTTTGCTCTTGACAAGGAAAAAGCAAAAACAATTGATGACCATAAATCTTTTGCTAGCCATGTGATCCGTAGCTCTCTTCATTCTTTCCGCCCTACTGCGATACTCTTTAGACCGTCGTGCTTGACGTCATCTTATGGAAGCATGTGTTCAGCAGAGACAAGCAGGGAAGCTATGGCGTCTCCCCTGCAGGCCCGACACCACAGGTTGGGAAAAAATCTGACACTTCTGTTCACCGTTGCCTTTTCACTTCCTGGTGTCCACTCCGCCCTATTTCCCACTCTCGCTCTTTTCCCGCTCTCCCCTCCCTCTCTCTCTCTCTTTCCCTCTCACTCAACCTCTCTCTTTCTCTCTTTCCCTCTCACGCAACACCCTGTTTTAACGTTTGGCCTTGCATGCGCCGACATGATTTTTTCTGAACGCTCTCTAGCGCCCCCTGTGGGGACTCTTGTTTTGTCATGCTCCGGGGGCTTACGATTACCCCTCCTCCCCCTTCCCCCATTTTCCTCTAATGCTCCTTCTGTAGTGGCAATTACTGCATACGTGTGTAAGCTATGCGTCTTTTTCAACCGTGTTTGGAATGACGGTGCAGGTATGTGCCAAACAGAGCAATATTTAACGTCTAACATAATGAATTGCAAAACTTGCACTAAACTTCTGATATTGTGTTTTGTGTGTTTATAAAGCATCTGGTTTGGTTAAAGGAATATTCTGGGTTGTTTGCAACTTAATGTCTGTGGAAAGCATTTTTGAAGTTGGGGCAGTTTTTTCTACTTCTGGTTTTGCTTAACTAATTTGCAGTGCCATCTTAACTAGTCCTTGATGAAAAAACAACCAGGTTTACTTTTTTTAGACTACACTACTGTTCAAAAGTTTGGGGTGAGTAAGATGTTTTTTAGTTTTTAAAGAAATCAATACTTTTCAGCAAGGATTCTTTAAATTGCTTTAAATGTTACAAAATATATGTCAAAACAAATACTGTTCTTTTGAACATTCTATTCATCAAAGGATCCTGAAAAGAAAATGCATCACCGTTCCCACTAAAATATTAAGCAGAACAGCTGTTTTCAACATTGGTAATAATAATAAGAAATGTTTCTTGAGCAGCAAATCCGCATATTAGAATGAAGGATCATGTGACATTTGAAAACTGGAGTAATGGAATAAATTCAGCCTTGTCACAGCAGGAATACATTACATTTTGAAAAATATTATAAATGAAAACAGTTATTTTAAATTGTAATTTTATTTCACAATATTGCTGTTTTTACTGTATTTTTTTATTTTAAAGGGGTCATATAATGCCATTTTTGTACAAGCTAATATGATTCTTTAGAGTCTAAATTAAAACTTTGTAATATACTTTAATTAAAAATTCTCATTAGTATTGTAAGAAAACACTTATTTTACCTGGTCAAAAACAGCTCTGTTTTCAGCACGCCGTTTCAGTGCATATGACTTTAAATGATAATGAGCTTTGCTCACCCCGCCTGGCCGCCTCTCTGTTCTGTGTGTACACTGTTTGTAACACAATAACCATAACGCGTTGTTCATTATGGACGTGGGATTATGAATTATATTGAGAACATCGTACATAGAAAACTATGGAGGGATTATTGGGTCAGATTGAAAACTAAAAGTCTTAAACGAAAACCAAAAGTCTAAGTTTGAAACTAAAAGTCTAAGTCGAAAACTAAAAGTCTAAGTCAAAAATGAATTTGGTATTTAGGATTGGGCATTTGGTATTTAGGATTGGGCATTTGGTCATTTAGCCATTTAGGATTTAGGATTGGGCATTTAATCATTTAGCCATTTAGGATTGGGCATTTGAGGATTGAGGAGTGTATGCAAATAAGGAGGCGTGGCCCAAATACTGGAGGCTGGGTTTGAAATGGCTGGTGCAGATGCACCTTATGGACAGCAGAGGGAGCTCCAGTCAGTCCAGTGCTAAGGAGCACACTGTAATGAAACCAAACAGAGCGAGTGAGCAGGTCTGGAGCGAGGACTGTACTTTATAATGTGATAACTTCAACTTAATGACAGCGTTGTATAGGGGTACTGGAACGGTACATGTATTCCTATTGAACAGAAACGGTAGCCTACGGGCGTCACGGTTCGGTGCACGAATTTACACGGAGAATACACGGTATAAAAATAAATAAAACTCTAAATAGCGATACATTTCGCTCTACTCGCGTTTGGTGTGAACGCAGCATAATAAACAGGCTGCGATATCAAGATTGCAATGCTGGAGTGTGTGTGTGCGCGCGAGAGAGAGCGGGGGAGGCGTGGGCGCGAACGAACTAGGTGTGTGTGTGTGTGTGTGTGTGTGTGTGTGTGTGTGTGTGTGTGTGTGAGTGAGAGAGAGAGAGAGTGTGTGTGTGTGTGTGTGTGTGATTTTGGTTGGGTGACAGTTGTAGGTTACAGTTTGACAAGATTTTAGAGTGTGACAAAAGCACAATGTTGTATTTTATTGCGAGTGTACACAAATATACACACTTTGCAGTTTGAACTTTGCAGCACACACTCCAACATTGCAACCTTGACGTCGCAGCCTGTTTATTATGCTGCGTTCACACCAAACGCGAGTAGAGCGAAATGTATCGCTATTTAGAGTTTTATTTTTTTTTATACCGTTTATTCTCCGTGTAAATTCGTGCACCGAACCGTGACGCCCGTAGGCTACCGGTTCGGTTCAATAGGAATACATGTACCGTTCCAGTACCCCTATACAACGCTGTCATTAAGTTGAAGTTATCACATTATAAAGTACAGTCCTCGCTCCAGACCTGCTCACTCGCTCTGTTTGGTTTCATTACAGTGTGCTCCTTAGCACTGGAGCTCCCTCTGCTGTCCATAAGGTGCATCTGCACCAGCCATTTCAAACCCAGCCTCCAGTATTTGGGCCACGCCTCCTTATTTGCATACACTCCTCAATCCTCAATCCTCAAATGCCCAATCCTAAATGGCTAAATGATTAAATGCCCAATCCTAAATCCTAAATGGCTAAATGACCAAATGCCCAATCCTAAATACGAAATGCCCTATCCTAAATACCAAATGCCCAATCCTAAATACCAAATGCCCAATCCTAAATACCAAATGCCCAATCCTAAATACCAAATGCCCTATCCTAAATACCAAATGCCCAATCCTAAATACCAAATGCCCAATCCTAAATACCAAATGCCCAATCCTAAATACCAAATGCCCAATCCTAAATACCAAATTCATTTTTGACTTAGACTTTTAGTTTTCGACTTAGACTTTTAGTTTCAAACTTAGACTTTTGGTTTTCGTTTAAGACTTTTAGTTTTAGACTTTTAGTTTTCAATCTGACCCAATAATCCCTCCATAGAAAACATGCCGTAATGTACCCTGAGTGTAAACCTTGGACGCATTCATTGTGAAGCGTGCATCTAGCGATTTGCAAAGATTAATATAAATATTAAAGGTTAATAAAACGTTACACTCACTTCAGTTATTTTGGAGGTTCAGCAGGAACACGAATAGTTGGTACCGGTCCAGGAGCAGCTTCTTAGCAAACCAGCTTTATACTGACCCTCCTCGTTTATAAGCAGTCTAGTGTGTGAAATGATTTGCGCAAATATGAAAGCATTGACGTTGCTCGTGGGGAATATTCCCTTCGAAAACAAACTCAGCCACTGCGTCTTCAGCGGTTCAGATTTAGGAACATTAAAATGACTGCTGTGTTCGTTATTACACCCAAGAACAGAACACCAGAATCGCTTAGACGCCATTCTGCTCATAGACAGTGCTCCAGCATATCAACAATGACCGCGCCGATCCGCGCGGACTATGATTGACAGCTCCCTCACGAGCGAGGGCGGGCCTGTGTTGAAACCCGGCTGTCATTCAACAATCGTGGGAGGGGCGTGCGAGCTTGTGACGTCACACGGTCGAACGGCTTGATTTGAGGCAGGGGAAAACATATAAGGAGATTAAAACAAAACCACTGGATGGATTTTTATCATTTTATGATGGTTGTGTACAGGCACTGCCAACACACATTTCAGTACAATCAACTTGTAAAAGTGCATGTACCATTATATGACCCCTTTAAATCCAGTCTTGGTGAGCATAAGAGACTTGTACTTGAATCGTACAATCCCAAACTTTAGAACGGTAGTGTAGTGAGTTTTGGCAGAGTATTCGGGCTGTAAAGGCACAGCGCTCTTCTAAATGCGGGGGGTGGAGAGCAGCAGCTCATTTGCATTCAAAGATACATGCATGAAAACAGCATGTTTTTGCTTCCACTCAAAAATTGGTATTTACAACATGTTATAATAAATGATCTGGGGGGTATTTTGAGCTGAAACTTCAGACTCATTCTGGGGACACCTGAGACTTCCATTACGTCTTGTAAAAAGGGGCATAATAGGTCCTGTTTAAAGTGTAAATAACTCTGAATATTCCTTTAAATGAATGCTCTGGGTTCAGAACGAGTCTGTGGCCTGCTGTCGATGATCACAGACAAATAATTTATTGTTGCATCATCCTTTTAAATTGGGACTATTTTTGTTGGTGGATGAACTTCAAGTTACCAATTTGTATGGTGTACTCATGCAGACATGGAGTAGTATTTTAGTATTACATACTTTTTAGTTGCTTAATTTAAGTTTTAAACTTTTTTTAGTTTGTTTTTCATTAAAAAAAATGTTCAGCTTCATTTCAGTTACTGAAAACAGTTCTTTTTAAAAATAGTTTTGGTTAAGAATAATAACACTGATACTGAGAAATTGACCAGGTTGACTTTTTTTTTTTAGCTTGTCAATAAATTATAATAATATTTAATAAAAGATTGCAAATAACCTGGAATATTCTTTTAAAGGAGTGTCCCGGGTTTAAAAGGAAGCTCTATTGACAGTATCTGTGGCCTGCCTTCAATTTAAAAAAAAAAATAATAATTTTGAGCCCTTAGATTATTAAAACAAGCTAATATTGTCTACAGTAAGTCCATGAAGCAGCCCTTCAGAAGGGTTTTGAAGATGAAATGCTATACACTCATATTTTTGTTAAAGCACTTATTTTAATGCTTCTACACCAAAATATGTCAATGGTGGATGAACTGTAGTTTAGTTTATGCTTCACTAATATGATTCCTGTGAGTGGATTTTTCTCTGTGCGCATATTGTATAAAATTAGCGGGCTCAGAAAAGTTATATATCTTCACACACATTAGGTTAGTGAGTGTTTTTTTTCTTACTGGTTCCATTTAACACTATAATGAGTAAGTCGTTTAAAACTGAACCTTTATCACAGTGCAGTGTCCTTTCCCATATACTTTGTACTTAATACTTTGTATTTTGCATTGAAAGCACATTACATTGATGACAAGTCAAAGTTATTTTCTGTGGTAACTGAAAGCATGCCATGGATTTGAACCCGGAACATTCTTTTTAATACCATTTGAGCTCAGCTAAAGCAAAAAAAAACTATATTTCATTGAAATTTTGCTATTAATTTGGATAAGAATAAAAATTCATTACTCTTGCATGTGCTCAGAGGCATGACATACTCTACAGACAGACCAAAGGCTCTGACATTGTTTCTGCAGATGAATATGAATATCTCATTTCATTTTGTTGTAGTTTACAGCGATTCCATTACAGGTTTGAATTCTGTCTTTTGAAGAAAAGGATAAAAAAACCGACTTCTTATCTTCACCTTCCCCTGTGTTCCTCTCTGGCCGATGTGTGTGTATGTGTGGCTATAGGAAGGAATGGAGCTGTATGGAACTAAATGCCTCTCCTGGCTGTGCTGCCGACGGAGAAAAGTGCCCAAGGCTCGGTACATGCACCTGGCCCAAGAGCTGAGCGTGGATCCCGACTGGCCTCCCAAACCTAAGAGCACCACTGAAGCCAAACCCGGCCCTCATCCGGACGACTGCTCCTACCAGATCGAGGCTGTTTCCTAGCATTTCCACCCGCTCACACTCCGTATTGCACATCCGAACCACCAGGGAGTTCCCTAAACACTGTCAAATTTAACGATTTTGTTCAAACAGATACGAAAAAAGACACCAAAAACAAAACCCTGCAACGGAGAGTTTTTAATAACACTTCGAAGATATTTCGAGGTTCTGTTCTCCCATTATAGTTTTCTTTTTTTTGCTGCACAAGATGATTTTTTTTTTTAATGGGCGGGGTTCACAGGCTGGGAACTGTGTAAGCCCCGCCCACTCATGCGTGCTGTTTGTCAGCACCTCACCGATATCCCCTTAAGACATGTAGACCGCAAAGTCATTGAACTCATTACCAAATGTGTCTCTTTAGATCACCACCTCCATGATTTCAGACACCATGGTCCTGGTGGCTCTCCTACAGATATCCAGTGCTCTTCACTGGATTTCAAGCATCGTCCTGTTACTGTAGTCTGTAGTGCATCATCTCTACAGGCTCTGCGGCAGGGGCTGCATGCTAACGCTTTGGAAACCGTCGCTGCATGCGGAACAAACCAAACTCTAGTGGCTCACAGAATCCAAGATCCAGCTTCGTTTTCAGCCAGCTCGTTTTAAAAATATATATATATCGACGTAGATATATAATTATACTTGATCTTTACTTTTCATATCTCTTCCCATGGAAGAATCGAGGTGGGATTCACTTGTGGAAGGCCAAATTTGTAAAAGTTTGTGTTTTGTTCACTTTTCCTGGCGCAGCATTTGCGATTTGGTTTTGATTCGATCCATCCTGAAACTTTTTACCGGTTTTGTTTAAAACGGTCTCTGAATTTCAAGTCCTGAAAGGGAAGGGGCTTAGATGTACATCGAGAAATATAGGGCACATTAGGAAAAAGTACAAATGATAGTTTTAAACTGGAGTCCTTTAAGTATCTGACAATTGTATGTTGAAATTTTGCAATCCAAATCAAAGCAGTTCGCTGATAAAAAATCATTCTCAATTGGCCAGTTAACAGTATTACTCGTGCATGACGACTTAATGGTTTTGCTGCTAATCTGGGAAACAACATTTTTCATCCTAAATGATCATTGGAAGGTTCGAAATCTGTTGCAGATGATCCCTCCCCCTTTCCAGATGTGATGTATTTGCATAATTTATACAATGCAGCGTAACTATTCTCAACTTGCAGATTTGCATCTTTTGGTATTTGTTTTTTGAAGAAAAAACAAAACAAAAACAGGTTTTTCATATAATAATTTTATATGTGGCGTTCCTGAAAAGAACCACTAAGCAATATCAGGTGATCACCGTTGTTTTTTTCATTACACTGACAGTTTGTATTGTTGCTCATCTGAAAATCCAAGCCATTAATAGTGTATTATGAAGAGTTTTGGTCAGTCATTTCACTGAGGTAAAGTTTCATGCCTTTTTATGTTTTTTTGTTGTTGTTGTTTTTCCCGGCAACTTTTCGTGTTATCAAAAAAGTATCAAATGGGAAATGATTAATAGTTATATGTACTATTATAAATGGAAACTATCAATTCCATGTCTTTTGGACAGCACTTAATTTAATAATTACTATGTGAGGTAACAGAATTTATAAACATATTAAAGATCTACATGAACCTTGGCATGAAATGTTCTTTGAATACGAAGGAACAAGATGTGCAAACATAGAATTTCAAACAGTAATCCAACAATCTAATCACGGATTTTCCTACATGTCTGCATTTATTTATTGTTTGGTTTTCAAGTTCATGTTGATTTGTTTTGCTGTATATGGGGCATCTTTAATTCAGTTTAATCTGAAAAAGGGCTGAATCTGTCTGTCTTGTTATTGCTCCGTTTCTGCAATACTTTGGTACTGTTTGATGTTTGAAATGGTATTGATCATCTGCCATATTTGCAATGTGTTCTTTTCAACCGTTCCAATGTCGTATTTGTATGTTTGTTAATATCATAAACGCGTGTTTGCTGGGCATTCCTTGAGCAAGGCAACAACAAATCACCTTGCTGTTATTGACCTGGGTGACACGATCAATTATATGATGTATACGTTTTAAAAACAACATCTCAAAGCATCTACTCGCACCATCTACTGAGACAGGATAGTTAAACAGACATGCCTATTATTATTATTTTTACATGTATGTCCTTAACAAATGTGAATGCAATGCTTTTGGGATTGGGGAATGTTAAATTATTTTCTTTTTTTTAATTATTGGTATTGTTAATTCTGAAGTATTTTTTTTAATTTAAATTGTTTAGTTTGTCTTGATCTGAACTGTGTGGTGTCGCAATCAGTTTCTCTTCCTCTAGGAGGCAGTAGGTTGCTGCTAGGACTTGGAGAACATCATCACAATAACAAACCTGCACCTTATGCACAGCACATTTTTGTTGGTTTTGTTCACTTTTACACCTGCAGATGAACACTGAAAGGGATGGTTCATCCAAAAATGAAAATTCTGTCATAGAAACTTTTATGATAAAATAGTATATGTTCTGCTGAACACAAACGAGGATGTTTTGAAGAATGTGGGTAACCAAATAGTTGCTGGTCCCCATTGACTTACAATGGAAGTTAATGGGGACCAGCAACTTGGTTGAGTAAATTATGACAGAACTTTTATTTTGGTATGAACTGTCCCTTTAAGTTCCATAGCAATCATGTATGTGCTGAAAAAATGTGTTTTTTTAAAACTGGGGCAATGTTCACGTCGTCTTTGTCATATCTGCAGTTTCCTACGATACAAACGCACAGTGTTTGATTACTGGAGGTCATTCAATAAACAGTTACTCCTTGCTTTTGCATAATTTTGTACCGTATGTCATATTCATTTTTTTGTGTGAGAACGTAGGTGTTATCAAACATGAGCAAAAGTTCAGCCACTGGTTCTGTTAAGGCTGGAGTGGTTAATTTCCTCAGGGAAATATCTGTATTTGTAATGATTATTGCTGAATAAATGCATATGGAAAAAGTCACGTGGGTCAGTGTTCAGTAGATATTCTCCCGTCACGTTTTATATTTTAATATGTAATTTTTATTTATTTTGTATTTGATTTGCTTTAATAAATATTGTTTTCTTTTACTTTTTTTCTTCCCCCTTTTCTTTTACTTTTTTTCTTTTTTTCTTACTGCTCTGCAATAAATGGCAGAAACAGAAAATTCTTATCGGTCATTTATCAGCATGTTGGCTGTAAAATGCAAATGGGGTGTGGGATTCCTTCAGATTTCAGTGCATGTTTAGCTGGCTTATTTTACAATATAATAAAATGTAATTGATTCCTGTGATACAAAGCTGAATTTTCAGCGTAATTAGTATTTAGTGTCACATGATCCTTCAAAAATGTTTAATGCTGATTTGCGATTTCTTGTTGAAAATATTGTGCTGCTTAATTTTTTTCGGGATTTTTTTGATTAATGTAAAGTCCAAAAGAAGAGCATTTTTTTTAATGTAGCTAAATCTTTGATCAATTTAAATAAAAGTATTAGTTTCTTTCAAAGTAAACAAATCTTACACCAACGAAAGTGCAAGTAAAAAGTAAAAAATATAGCGAAATCTAATATGGAAACTTGGAAAGTGATAATGAATTAATTTAGTGTGACTAGAGTATGAGGTATGTCTGCGATTTTACTGAATTACTTGGCATATAATTTCTTCACTTTTTTTTGGCTTTTAGCAGGTGAGAACAGATATAATAGAACAGGGAGCTGCTTGGAAACTGCAGACCACGGAGAAAAGGACACCATTTTCAATTAGCGTGGGCAATCCTTTAATAATGTCACGTAATGTCATCCCTTACTAGGATTGTCCACTGTTTCCAACCATACTCCCATCATTTTAGGCACACCTGTTTGTGTGTCTTGGAGCATGGGGTGTGTTTTACTTGTGTTTGCATAGAAATTTGCACATTAACCGAACTATAGCCCCATTAAAATTACATCACCCTTTGACCTGAAGCTCTGTCTCTAAGATATCGATTTGGTTATTTTTTAGGTCAGGCCTTCTGGCCGGGCTCCAAGTAATGTTCTGTGACTGTTTTGATGCTGGTTCCACAAGGACATAGCATGCGAAAGCAAAAATCAGCTCTAATAGTTACAGTCCCTGAAAGACTCGCTTAATGAAAATTAGTGACTTAAGGTTTAATTATGGATAAAAATGCCAAAAAGGACACCCGAACACAAAAGCCAAATGCGCTTGTTTTAATATGGTGTCGTTACATTTGACCATTTAATGGGGTCTTGAAAATGAGGGTTGCATTTAAAGGGTCATGAAACCCTAAACCCAATTTTCTGAGATTTTAACAGAGGTGTGTTGAACACCATTGAAGACAAAGTTAGCATCTGTTAGTGGTGATGTAGTATTCGAGTCCGGTCTCGAGACCGATTTCTGCTTTCTCGGACTCGTCTCGGACTTGTTCCTTCAAAGACTCGGTCTCGACCTTTCTTTTACTGTCTATGGTCTCGACCCTTCAAAGACTCTGTCTTGACTCGGTCTCGGACCACAGTGGGAGGAGAAGGACTCGTAATTTCAGACCGAGTCCTCTAGATTTTTTTTACAACGCATTTTTTTTATGTTCATATGAAAAAAAACACACAACACATAACAACAATAATAATAAAATGCAATGTTGACGGGCATTATTTGAAAATGACATCCCATGGTGCAATGCAAAGGCCTAACTGTTGATTATTAACTGGGGTGATATTAAATCATGAATATCAAAACTGACATGTCGAGACAAAATCTCGACTCGGACTTGCTTCCTCAAAGACTCGGTCTTGACTCGAACTCGACCCTTCAAAGACTCGGACTGGACTGTATTTGAACGGACTCGGTCTGGACCCTTCAAAGACTCGGTCTTGACTCGGACTCGGCATAGGAGGTCTCGTCCCCATCACTATCTGTTAGATTTAATAGTAGTTTTTTTCCGCTATTTTTGTCTTCTGGGTTTAAAATCTTCATTGTGTGAGTGATTGCTTTGATGACTCATCATTGGTCTCATCTACATTTCTTATGTGTCCACTTACAAGCGAAACAAAACCGTGTGCTTTTATAAAATAAAGAAAATAAACGGGATGTGCTTTCTGCCTCTCCGTGAACTTTTTTTCGGGAGCGCGTCTCTAAACTTAAACAAAACTCAGCGAATAGGTACTATTCACCCAGGCAAGAGCAGTATATCTTTATAATCATTCAAAATGAATTATTTTCAAATATATGCATTTATAGTGTGTATATAAACAAATATATATTTTATAATGACATTATAATTGTACATGTACATTAATGTTTTAAATAGAATTACGATTACTAATATAGGCCTATGTAGCAGGCCAGTTACTTTTGAAAGGACAAAAATACGATGTCAGTGTATTTCATTAGACTTTAACTTTGCCAGCTATAAAAAATCTAGCATTTCCTCACGTTTTACCACTGATTTTTAGTGACAGTTGATATGCATGGGCCACTGGCCGATGACAGTTATCCCGCTGTCCCCCTCCCCTGCCGTGCCATACCACACCACAAGCACTCCCCTCCCTTCTTCTCACAGCCATCCACGCCCATTTAAATTGCATTTTTCGAAAAGATTGGGAGCTAGACTTGAGCTGAAAGAGGGGGGTTTCATGACCTTTTAAATGTTCTACATTTTGATATTGTGCTTGTGACGTCTTTATCTACGTTAGTTTCTACACAGTTAAACCCACATGACCTTGTCGTGACATGCCCCCTGACCATCGTGATATGCCATTGGCTGTTCCTGTTAAACTTTAAGAGGGTAATAACATACGGACTTGTAAATATTTACCTGTCCATAAACATGGTAGTCCTACCATTACAGTAGCTAAAGTTAAAAAAAAAAAAATTCTAACTGCATTTACCCTTTGGACATGAGACAATCAAGCACATTATCAAATTGCAGAACATTTAAATAATCCTCATTTTCAAGACTCCATTAAATGGCCAAACGTAGCCTGGGCAACACATTAAATGGTCAACAAGCACATATGGCTTTTTGGCAGCTTTGACAGGTTTTTATTTATTATTATTTTTATCCATAATCAAACCCTCCAAGTCTAATCTTACAGTGGGAGTTTTTTGGGGATCATAAAGATGGGCCAATCATAAAAGGACCGGGGTTTTTTCCCAATGGAATTCTATTCATTTTTTTTATGAAAAATTAAATGTAATGTTTACATTTGAAAAAGGCAGGCTTTGAAAACATCTGTGAGCAGCATTGTCACATGATTCAATTAGACATTAGAAAAGTCTACATTTTAGTATCATTGAGATACGATTATAGTTTTTATTATATTAAATACAATTATTTACGCTTATAGTTATTTTAATACATCGTTAAACTAAATGAAAATGAGAAACGTTGCTTTGACATCTAGCCGAAATATAAGTTTTTTATATTTTATTTTATTTCGGTTTGTTTATTTTTACTATTTTATTTTTTGTGGTTTTAGTTTGTTTTAATTAACTAGCAACCCATGGTCTAAATGGCTTGATTTACAAAATAAATAAAACACAATCACATTGTAAACTGTAGACACAAACACACACTCACATGCCTTGCATCCTGCTTAGATAGGCAGGGTTTGGCAATCCAGCATTTGATTGGACATTGTAAACCTTTAAATGCTTCACTTTTCACAAAGGTTTCACATTGTAAACCTTTAAACACCCAGAACCTTGTGATAACCTTCAGTCAACGTTGATAAGATCAATTCCTGTTGGACTTTTTGAGGAAAAACATGAGTGGATGTCCGTTTTTTGAAAGAAAGCATCAGTGGGTTTTATATTGTTTTAGAATTTGTTTTTTAACTAAATGTTTTGATTTTCTATCAAAATCAAATGAAATGCAATGTTATCAACATAAAATGCAATGTTTTAATTTTTTTAACCAAACAAAATTTCAAAAACTTTTTTTTATCTCAAAATTAGATTGTTTACCAGTAAAGCAGAGGAAGAGGATGAATCCCAAAAGGGCATCAACAAAGCCAGTAAAGGAGGAATCATCTATGGAGAATACCTACAGGTAATTAACTTCAAGTCATCAACCTTTATCGATATTTGTACTGATCCAAATATTAATTATTCATATCTAACATTTCAGTCTATTTTGCGGCAAATGATTTAGCAAGAAAAGCTGATGTGCATTAAGGTGCAATAACGTCAGTCTGTTTGCTGTTAGCTTGACAAGGTGTTGAACGCTCAAGTTCTGCAGAGTGAACTGAAAGGCAACAAAATCCATGATGAGCATCTCTTCATCATTACACACCAAGGTAATCGATTTATATGTATTCATATGAAAACCTGCTCTGTTCGCTCTCACGTCGCATTAAAAAATATTGCGCATTCTAAGCTTCCATTTTCACAGATCCTGACTGTATTATCCTGCTTTCTCCTTCAGCCTACGAGTTGTGGTTTAAGCAGATATTGTGGGAGCTCGATTCAGTTCGGGACCTATTCATTAAAAACCATGTGAGTTAAACTAACAAAGTGAATATTGAGTCAAACAAGTGTAACTTTAAAGAGAAGAGTTGACTTTACCTCAAGGATTATGACTTTATTTAGATGCATTTTTTGCGATCAAATTAAAAAACGATGAAATGTGGACGTCGCCAACAGGTTCGGGATGAGAGAAACATGCTGAAGGTGGTGAGCAGGATCCACAGGGTCACCATGATCTTCAAACTGCTGGTGGAACAGTTTGCTGTCCTGGAGACCATGACTTCCCTGGACTTCTTTGACTTTAGGTAACAGCCTCAGTCAACTCATAGAATCTCAAACAACCATAAACAACTGGCCTCAATTGTACACAGAATTTGTAAAAATCTTGCTGATACATCCACCCTAGAACATATATTTCCATGAGTGAGCTTGCTGCAGGTGATTTGTAATTGAATCAGACTATGGTGTGTACGTGTTGCAGGGAGTATCTGTCCCCAGCCTCGGGGTTCCAGAGTCTTCAGTTCCGTCTTCTGGAGGGTAAGATTGGTGTGGCGGATCACTTAAGAGTCCCCTACAACCGTCGACACTACAGAGATAACTTCCACGAACATGAGAGTGAGACACTGCTGAGTTCAGAGCGGGAACCCTCTCTCCTTCAGCTGGTGGAGGTAAAACCTCTCATCTTCAGGTTCAAAAGAAATAGAAATTTTGCCACTATTGTTTTTCCGTTATTAGAATGCTATGTCAAAGCTATTATGTGTTTTGTAGCAATGGCTGGAGAGGACTCCTGGACTTGAAAGTGATGGGTTTAATTTCTGGGGGAAACTGCAAGCCAACATCGAAGAGGGTCTCAAGATGGAGAAGCAGAAACTGGAAGTTCGTTCTGCTCTCATTTCCAATCACAATTATTATTTTTTCCAGTCATGTTACTGAGCTTAAAGTTAACTTATTGCTTTCACTGATAGAAACTGGAAGATTCTGAGGTAAAGCAGGAGCTTCTAGAGGATCGAAACAAACAGACTGAGGTCTTCACTGCCCTATTTGACCCAAAACGCCATGAGCATCTTTTAAGCAAAGGTGAGGACCGGCCCACAATGCTTTGCCACTAACCGCTAAGGTAGGATAGACTAATAAGTAGGGTTATTAAAGGAGAACTACGGTCAATTTTAACATTGAGCTCATTTTTTTGTACATTTGGAGTGCTGTCAGTACTGAAAAAAACGGCAAAAATCGGTGTTGCCTACACCGTGTTATCCTCTTTTTAAAATTCGCACCCTGTTGACTTCAATGGGGCAAGTTCTAAACCTGCTTTTAGCCTCTTAACAACCTTAATGTGTCATTACAAGTGCACAGCCATGTGAGTGGTGTTATTAAGAGTGACCACGGTCAATCTGACTGCAGTAGATGTGAAAGATATTAATAAAAATGATGTTAATTCAGCCAGCTCACATACCTGTATTTACTTCCTGTTTTCGTTCGAAGTCCACAGTAGTCGATTGTCGATTTCGCGCGCGCGCGATCATTAGTTATATTAGTTACCAATGATCGCGCGCGCGCGAACTCGACAATCGGCTACTGTGGACTTCAAACAAAAACAGGAAGTTTTTGTCTGTACTGACAGCACTCCAAATGTACAAAAAATGAGCTCAATGTTAAAATTGACCGGAGTTCTCCTTTAACTAAAACTATGGACTCTTTTTACAGACTGCGATGACACGTTTCCACAGTTATCAACATCGCAAGTCTAGTAAAGTTGTTCCTCGTTTTAAAAAAACAAAAAGGTAGCAAATTAGCTCAAAGCGGAAATATGAATAATAAACTTGTTATAATTAATTATAAATATTTGGATCAGTTAATTAAATTAACTTGATGTAGCTGAATTAATATTACAATTCAATGAATCTGTTTGTCCAGCGAGCACTCAGTATTGATCGTCTATCAATTCTCAGAAAGGATATTTTTTTGTGTACAATCAAAACCCACATGAATATGCACAAAGGTTTTATTTGACTAAATCACGAACACATAACTAATCTAAACAAACACAGAGGGAACGTTTACGACCCTTTGTCTGAGCATGCTGTTTTGCATATTAGCACCTTGTTTTGTGGTTGGGTGAGGGTGTTTGCTGGATTATTCAGTAAATATAATGGATAATTGTGTGTCTGTTTGGTCCATCCGCTACAGTAATAGGCCTACACGTTTATAACGCTATGCTTTGTTATATTACCTCAGCAGTTAATGATAAAAAAATGAATTAACACTGCTGCGATTTTAATCTTTTTCCAAAAGGTGAACGTCGACTTTCTTACAAGGCCCTTCAAGGAGCTCTAATGATCAATTTCTATAGGTATGCATTTCATGTAATATCCACTAAATTCATGTAAATATTATTTTCATTCATTATACAATGGAGACAGACCTTAATTTTCCCCCTTCCAGGGAAGAGCCTCGCTTCCAGGTGCCCTTCCAGCTCCTGACTGCGCTGATGGAGATCGATACGCTTATGACCAAGTGGAGATGTAAGCCTTTGATTCTGAGCTCTCATTCAGAAATCTACAGCCATGATGTCCCACATTTAACATAACAAAACGTTTTCTCTAGATAACCATGTCTGTATGGTGCACAGAATGATTGGTAGTAAGGCAGGTACAGGTGGATCTTCAGGATACCATTACCTGCGCTCGACTGTCAGGTGTGTGTCTCATTTTTATTTTTCTGTGCCAGTCTGAAATACTAAACTTCATGTGGTGTTTTGGTCGTCTTACTCATGGTGGCATGATTACAGCTCATTTACACAGTGGTTCATATGGGGTGCATCTCAATCAAATGTCTAGCATAAAAAAAATGATGTTGTTATTTAAAACCAGCGGTAACACACAACGCTGTACGTTAATGTTGTAGGCCTACTGATTATGTAGATACAGAAAACAGCCTTTGCAACGGCGTTCAAGTGTGTGAATAGCGGTTGGCACTCTGCCTAGTGGTTTACCGAACGCCAATTCCACTGAATCGTTCTTCTTCAGACCGTTGACTTGTCATCGTCTGAACAAACCCAACATAGAAGTTCCTCGCCATAGAAAAGCCAAATTTTTTTAAGGTTTGAAGGGGGGTGTGACCCAAAATGTTTGAGAACCGCTCCATGGAAGCTTGTTTCCGCCACAGAATAAAAAATACAAAAGGTAATTGCAACTTTTAATCTCACAATTCAGATTATTTTTCAGATTATATGCGAGTTTATCTCACACAATAGCCTACTGTGAAAAAAAGTCCGAATTGTGTGATATAAAGTCGCAATTGCATGTTGCAAACTCGTAATTCTGAGAAAGAGAGAAAAAAAAAACTATTTCCCCCCCTCAGAACTGGACTTTATAACTCGTAATTGCAAGTTTATATCTCACAGTTCTGTGAAAAGATTGTCAATTGCGAGAAAAAAGGTCAAAGAGATTACATAATTGGGGTGGGGTTTAATAAGTTTTACTTCTTCCCACTCCATTTTCAAGCATACGTGTATAATTTGTTATTATTGTGTATCTTTTCTGTTGTCACACTATTTTGCTTGAAATAAATAAATAAATAATAATAAAAAATAATAATAATCTCGCAATTGTGAGATAAAAAAAGTTGGAATTGTGAGATAAAAAGTCGCAATTATGTTTTAAATAGTTTTATTTTGTGGCAGAAACAAGCTTCCATATTGTTACATGTGTTTGAAGATGATAAAAGGCTTTTATTTGCATTTTAATGCATTTATGGGGGTTTCACACAGTGATAAACAGAAACACTTTAACCTCAGAAAAGTGCTTAAAAAGATGAAGGCTTGCCATAAATCAATGATGCCTCGTTCTCTCATCTTTCAGTGATCGTTACAAAGTGTTTGTGGATTTGTTCAACCTGGCATCATTCCTGGTACCTCGTGCATGGGTGCCCAAACTGAACCCAAACATCCATAAGTTCCCCTACATGGCCGAGTGTTACGACAGCTCCTACAATTCATGCAGCGGTGAGGATTCAGATTAGGAAGATCAGACTTGTTTGTCCAGGCTGATGAAATGAAATAATGTCCAAGAACTCGGGAATAATGCCAAGTACTCTATTGATCAGCTAAAGTTTGTGCTTTTTGCTCCATTTACGTAATTTACTAGATATCGAAAAACTAGAAACTTCTCTCCAGATGATATAGGCTAGATAAAGGAAGTTTAATGATGAAGTAATTGTGTATATACAAACAAATCAAGAAATCTTGTACATACTATTTATATTTGAAACATGTATGTAAAAAATGTCTTTTGTACCAATAAAAGGATATTTTTGAATGCGGCTCATTGATTACACACACACACACACAAAATATTATATAAAATGTAATTTGGACTGTAGTTGAAATGCAAATTTTATGCTAAGTTTTAAGTGAGCATACTGTGTACCACATCAATAAACAAATATGTTTCCATCACTACTTAAAATAAACTACATTTTTTCCAGAATTTTCTCCATCCCAGTTCACCAGCTTCTGATGGTAAATATTTGTGACCACTTTTTTGAATTAGAGACCATCATGACTGAATAAACAAATGAACTGCTCCAAATCAGTGGAAGTGGACTTTTTTTTCATAATTAAAAAAATATATATACCATTGTGCTAATGTAATGTTTTGAGTTTGTTTTCATTCATGTTTGTATTTCTGTTTTCCAACTGTTTTAGTTTGTTTTTTGCTTCTAGTCTGTTCATTGGTTCTGTTCTCTATTTCCCTGCCTGTTTGTCACCGTAGTGCGGTAGAAATTCCTCTACGCACCCGACTCAAGTTAAACCGGTTGTCCTGCAAATTATCCTCAGGTGACTCCCTCTGACCGCGCTGGTTGACGCCTGTGTGGTTACTCTGACCGCATAAAATTATAAGAATTATATCTACTCTGACCACAAAAGATGCCAAGAATTATATCTACTCTGACCACATAAGATGCCTAGAATTATAAGAATTATATCTACTCTGACCACAAAATATGCCAAGAGTTATACAAATTATATCTTCTCTGACCACATAAGATGCCTAGAATTATGAGAATTATATCTACTCTGACCACAAAATATGCCAAGAGTTATAAGAATTATATCTACTCTGACCACATAAGATGCCTAGAATTATAAGAATTATATCTACTCTGACCACAAAATATGCCAAGAGTTATAAGAATTATATATACTCTGACCACATAAGATGCCTAGAATTATAAGAATTATATCTACTCTGACCACAAAATATGCCAAGAGTTATACAAATTATATCTTCTCTGACCACATAAGATGCCTAGAATTATGAGAATTATATCTACTCTGACCACAAAATATGCCAAGAGTTATAAGAATTATATCTACTCTGACCACATAAGATGCCTAGAATTATAAGAATTATATCTACTCTGACCACAAAATATGCCTAGAGTTATACGAATTATATCTACTCTGACCACATAAGATGCCTAGAATTATGAGAATTATATCTACTCTGACCACAAAATATGCCTAGAGTTATACGAATTATATCTACTCTGACCACATAAGATGCGTAGAATTATAAGAATTGTATCTACTCTGACCACATAAGATGCCTAGAATTATAATAATTATAGTCTCTGACCACAAAATATGCCAAGAGTTATAAGAATTATATCTACTCTGACCACATAAGATGCCTAGAATTATAAGAATTATATCTACTCTGACCACAAAATATGCCAAGAGTTATAAGAATTATATATACTCTGACCACATAAGATGCCTAGAATTATAAGAATTATATCTACTCTGACCACAAAATATGCCAAGAGTTATACAAATTATATCTTCTCTGACCACATAAGATGCCTAGAATTATGAGAATTATATCTACTCTGACCACAAAATATGCCAAGAGTTATAAGAATTATATCTACTCTGACCACATAAGATGCCTAGAATTATAAGAATTATATCTACTCTGACCACAAAATATGCCTAGAGTTATACGAATTATATCTACTCTGACCACATAAGATGCCTAGAATTATGAGAATTATATCTACTCTGACCACAAAATATGCCTAGAGTTATACGAATTATATCTACTCTGACCACATAAGATGCGTAGAATTATAAGAATTGTATCTACTCTGACCACATAAGATGCCTAGAATTATAATAATTATAGTCTCTGACCACAAAATATGCCAAGAGTTATAAGAATTATATCTACTCTGACCACATAAGATGCCTAGAATTATAAGAATTATATCTACTCTGACCACAAAATATGCCAAGAGTTATAAGAATTATATATACTCTGACCACATAAGATGCCTAGAATTATAAGAATTATATCTACTCTGACCACAAAATATGCCAAGAGTTATACAAATTATATCTTCTCTGACCACATAAGATGCCTAGAATTATGAGAATTATATCTACTCTGACCACAAAATATGCCAAGAGTTATAAGAATTATATCTACTCTGACCACATAAGATGCCTAGAATTATAAGAATTATATCTACTCTGACCACAAAATATGCCTAGAGTTATACGAATTATATCTACTCTGACCACATAAGATGCCTAGAATTATGAGAATTATATCTACTCTGACCACAAAATATGCCTAGAGTTATACGAATTATATCTACTCTGACCACATAAGATGCGTAGAATTATAAGAATTGTATCTACTCTGACCACATAAGATGCCTAGAATTATAATAATTATAGTCTCTGACCACAAAATATGCCAAGAGTTATAAGAATTTGAGCTTCCTGGCCGCATTGGAACCCCGCCTAAGAGCCTTACTCTGAGTCATTTTCAAAAGCATATAGACGTTAATCCTGCTAGAAAAAGAATTGTCGGCTATTTTTAGATTTCTATTTTTACATTTTTTAATTATGATTCATTAAAAAATTCCCCCCAACTAACAATAGTTACAGATTGATTAGAGTTTCAGTTCAGGTGTATGTGATATTTGCAACTGGATTATGACAGCTATATATGCCATAATAATTATTAGTAACACTTAATTAGTAAAGTTTTCATTTGTTAATATTAGTTAGTCCAGGTCAAAGATATATCAGTGATCCATTTTTAGTTCTATACTAATTTTATCTCTTTGCTGAAGATTCACCAAAGTAAATTGCTTTTTTTGAGCCATGAAAATCACAATATTTACACTCCACAAAAGTGTTGCAATGTTTAAGAGCTGTTGTGAACCTTCCTGCCCCTTATAAACCTCATCTTAAGTTATCTTAACTACATACACCAATGTCTGACCAGCGAGACCCAACACTTGACCTCTGCAAAAACAACTTTTTATCTCGTTTGACAAATTCTCTGGCAAAGTAAATGGTGATGATTTCTCTCTTTTGATATTTATCAAACTAATTTTAAATAACACCAGCTGAATCATATTTTTATCTCCAACACTACCATTCAAAAGTTTATGGTCAGTAGGTATTTTTGGTAACACTTTATAATAAGGTTTTATTTGTTAACTGCATTAGTGGACACAAACTAACAATGAGCATTACTTCTAAAGCAGTTATTAATCCTAGTCAATGTTAATTTCAAACTGTACTAATACATTATTAATATAAGAAGTTGTATCTGTTAATAATGGACCTCAGCTAACATGAACTAAGAGTTGTATTAATATTAACTAACATTAACAAGGATGTACAAATATATTCCTCATTGTTAGCTTGTGTTAGATAATGCATTAACTAATGGTAACAAATGAGGACATATTGTAGTGTTATGGTTTTGTTTTTCATAAAAAAGAAACATAAAACTATAAAAATCTGGTTTATAGTAACTTTTTTTCCAACAAGTTCCTTGTAACTTGTCCCATTTAAAGCAAATAAGTTGAAAAGCGTATATGACCCTATAAGATTCTCTCTCTCATGATAAACACTTTGACCCTTTCTGTAACTCTGATTTACAGTATACGGTCATACATGTCTAGTTAGTCATCTAAGACAAAGACATGTATGCAAATCCTCTATAAATTTTAAGTGGCAGATACAGTCCTTTAAATGTGTTTGTTGGACATATCTTAAAAACATATAGGTTTTGACAGCTATTTTCATGCATTTTAGTATTTGTCATACATATTTAGTATTTTGTTGATCCTGGAACGACATTTATGTCCGAAAAATGTGTCCTAACCCTAACCATAACTCACTCATAAAATCAGAGGGAAATGAAAGGCTTGACAATGCTTCCTAAACTTGACATAAACTCTAAACTTGTCCTTGAAATCTGATTGGTTGATTGGAATGTTGTTCCAGGATCAACAGAGATGTTGATCCAGGAACATGATGTACTTGGTGAAATCACGTTCCCCAAATCGGACCTAAAATGTATTCACAACTCTTCAAATATGACTAAATTGATATTTCTACGGAACTGTCTTAAAACGAACTAGGCATAATCGATTAGTTGACTATTTGTTTACTATCACGTAGTCTTTAGTATTCATTCAAAAACTCTTTCAAGATCATTCAGTTACCCTGTAGTACACTTTGTCTCTACACATAAAGCTTGTGTGAGTTGTGTGGCCATACAGTGATGTGTGTGATATAGGAGGGAAACAACGTGAGTTCTGTTAAAAGATTAACTGCACTGTCCACAATCAGATGTACAGAGGCCATGAACCTGCTGATGGAGTGTTTTCATAGAAAATAACAGAAGTGCACAGTCATTGGGTCTGATAGAAAGAGCAAAAGTTAAGAGCTCAAGTTTGCAGTAGAGGACAATAAATTCCCACTATAAATGTAGCATACTATATACTATCTTTTATAGAATGCTATACATTTATAATGCACAGAATTATATTATTGCAGGCCTATATATTGTATTTATTTAGAAAGGGCTTTTCCAGGGACATAATTATCCATTTCAATTGATTCATAGATAGATAGATAGATAGATAGATAGATAGATAGATAGATAGATAGATAGATAGATAGATAGATAGATAGATAGATAGATAGATAGATAGATAGATAGATAGATAGATAGATAGATAGATGCTTCAGTTGTCCACTAGAGGGCAGAAAGCATCCAACAACAGTAATTTTTATTCTTATTTTTAAATGGAGAGGTTGTTATAGCCAGGGCAACATCATATGACAATGTAGAAAAAAAATAATAATCTCAGTGTCATCTTATGTTGTAAGCTTTGGTAAAAGAAAACTCATTTATAAATGACGCATGGAAAAACGCATTTAAAATAGATTTATAATATTTAACCAAAAAAATATACATTTTAGTATTATCATATGACATCC